TGAATATGTGCTCCAAGTATCCCCCAGAGCCACCTCCAGAGTGGCCAAACAGCTGCTCTTCCACAAGGCTGCCAAACCTGCAGTGGGGGAAAAAGGGCTACAAAGTCAAGTTCTCAACTCCTGGTCACTCTATGGAGATACTACATCCATGTAGTTTTCTTTTCTGACTTTCCTATCCAGCCAAAGGACAGGGGTTTTTCTCAAGACCAGCAAAGATTGGCTAAGGGCTACCATCCACAGGGCCTGAATGACTCCTTGCATTCTTGGATACAATATGGGAATTCATTTCTGCTGCCTTCTTTCAGGATATTCCCCCCCACCCCCTCACACACACACTTCTTGGTTTAGTCTCCAGCCCTTGGCTTTCCTTGCTAGTCTCCCAGGTAAGGGCCAACCAGTTCCAATCCGTTTCAAACTTTACAACAGCATCCCATTAAATATTACATACCACCAAATGCCCAGCAGTGTTTTAGTAAAACCAAAGTCCAATCTAGGGATAGAGGAGAGGGGATCCAAACCCAGCCACTGGAATCCACCACCCACGGCCTCATCTGCAATGGCAGAAGACACACTGAGCAGCTTATTGCTAGACAGATGGCAAACTTGATCACTTTTGAGATGTGGCTGATCTCTCACTGCAGCATGTCTCATCAGTGAGAGATGCTCCGAACTGGAAATTGGACTTTGGCCGTGCTCTTGAATTGAGTTGAACAACTTTTATTAAGCCTAACTTGGCCTTTAAACAATGTGCAATTCTAAATCAAAGTGGATCCAGCCAGGACAAAACTAAAACCAGCTCACTTAGGGTGAGGTCATCTGGATCTATTCGTGAGTGAGCTGTAATGACCAGGAGAAGGGATGCATCATGCCTTCTCCTGGTGATGTTGCAGAAGAAAGTGGAGAAAACAGACTTGGCAAGCTTGGCAAGTAGCTGAATTCCCAGGGAGGGTCTTACATGCTATCCAAAGGCACAGGATTCACTTCAAGAAGGGATACTCCTTCCTGGTCCAGCAACTTTAAGACTTCTCCTGAAATGAAGAGTGGTGACAATGAACTCAAGCAGATCCTAGAGATCAAGTCTCTAGACAAGAAGCTCCACAGGATTCCAAGGCAATCCCAGGTGAGTCTCACTGGCATACAACGGGAAACTCCCTGCATGAAAGTTAAATGAAAGTGCAAGAATGCAATATTTGATTTGTGCCTTTTTTGAATCCATTTTTGAAAAAGGAAGTATTAAATTTATGCTGCATGACCTCGAGTGATAGGAATTAGAATTTGGGAAGGGGTGCTACAGATGGGGAAAAAATAGTGTCAGATACCAGTTAACTCCCTTGGCCTGAGTTTGCTGTAGCTAGTGAGAGTCACCAGCCTCTTTCTATCTTGGAACTATGTTCAACCCATTAAATTGCAAGCTTGCCAGAGGCAGTAATAATCATGTTTCTTGGATGCCTCAAGTCACTGGGATCAGGTGGTGTATAAAAAAAACAGAACTAATTCCTTCTTATGGTAAATACTAGGATTATATAAAATGCCCCAAATCCGTTATGCTTGGAGCAACAAAACCCCATCTCGCTTTGAGTTCAAGAAATCCAGAAATGTAAGAAAAATCCATTCTAATTCAAAATGAAGTGTTTCACATTCTAAGTTATTTGCATATCCCTAGTAAATGTATCAAGAGAGTAATTAATCTGCATTGTCTCTCTGTCCCCAATTGCGTGGCTGAAGTACTTAATTTGGAGGTTCCCCCTCCCCACCTGTGATAAATGAGACCCTGGCCTCTATCAAGATTCCTATCAGAGCAGGATTAATTCACAGAAGGAACTGACAGAGGAGGAGCAGGGTCCTTCCCTCTCCCAAGATCATTTAGATCTGCACTTTTACCTGTTGTAATCACACAGTCAACCTCACGGGTCTGGTGCTTTTCGATGAAAAAATCTGGCCTGGAAGCTTCTAGCTTTTTGTCATAGCAAGGCATCACAGTGACATGGTAGATTTGGTCTGGGGTCAGGCTCTGGAACAAAAAAGGGTTTTGAAATGGTATTGAAACTGGCAAAAAGAATACCTAGCCCTAAATTCCCAACATGCAACTGAACAATGGAGAACAAAGGACAGAGACACATCCCGGTTTGGGGCTTGAGTGGTCAGGCAATCAGAAATTTGACGATTCAGCTCACCCTTCTCTTTTATATATCACTTCCCCCTCTATTGCTCTCCAAATGTTGGCTAGGGGATTCCTGGAATTGTAGCTGTACATCTGAAGAGTAACATATACAGAATGGCTGGTCTAAGTGACCCAGTGGGGGGCAATCACATCATGGTAGATTGCATTGCACTTATGGCAGAGGCACTGAGGCGCTTCCGAGTTGAAAGGATTAGCTGGTGAATCACCATTGCTGAGGGGATGCCCAGCAGGTGTTAGAATGAAGGACAGGAGCTCAGCTCACCCCAGGGCAGCACTTAGGTCTCCAACGCAAACTTGCTAACCTCCAACCCCAGCTAACCACTCAAACCACCATATTCCTTAGCAATAGCAGTAGCACGTAGACTTATATACGGCTTCACAGTGCTTTACATCCCTCTCTAAGCAGTTCACAGAGTCAGCCTATTGCCCCCAACAATCTTGGTCCTCATTTTACTCATCTTGGAAGGACAGAAGGCTGAGACAACCTTGAGCCTGGTGGACTTGAACTGCCAAATTGCAGGCAGCTGGCAGGCAGCAGAGGTAGAAGTAGCCTGCAGTACTGCATTCTAACCACTGTGCCATCACGGCTCTATGGGTAGATCACTGAATAAGGAAAAACTGGCTGCCCCTTTGGGAAAACACACACACACACACAAATCCTGTTTTTACAGAGGGAGCAAAGGCTCTGAGCTACAACTACAGCAGATACTTGTAGCACATTTGCCAGTTTGTCCTTTGCCTCTAGTGGTTTCCAAACTTCCTATTACATCTGCTGTCTTGTGAGAAAACTTTGAGCAACACCTGTTGTTTGGCAAAGTGGTCCTTAATCAGGGAACCCATGATCTGCTGGGGTGATCTGGTAGTGCTGATGTATGGGATGATAAAACTTCCATGGGTTTTTTCAGCGTAACAGATCCAACCTGCAAGGGAAACATTTTAAAAGAATTAAACCAATCCTGCTATCTATCTTGGGTCAATGAAAGCTACCTAGCAAAGATGGACCATGGCCCAATTCAACAGTTGCACAAGTTCTTTTTTCCATCCATTCAACTGAATGTAACCAGATACCAAAATATTATCAAGCCCCAAATATTTGGGCAAGACAACAAAAGCAATTGCTCAGATTATGGTAAGGTATATTTAATGCCATTTTTGAGATAAAGAAATGTGATAATTGCAAAAAGAATTTCTGAATCTCTTTCAGTGAGTTCACAAAGGCACAATTGGTTTGCATGATTTGAAACATTCCTTGGTTATTTTCCCCACAGGGTGAATTGCCATTTGTGACAAAAGCTGCCAACAGACGGCCCTCTGTCTCTCGATCCATTATGCCTCCGATGTTTTCCATGCCTTTCCCAGCTTCCATACCACCATTCACAGCATGGAAAACAGGCAGGACATATGGAAGTTGCAAAATTGCCTGCTTAGTTCTAAAAATGCAAATAGAGGTAGTCCTCTAAAGACTTCATTCTAGTTCCCTGATCACCCTCGTTGCCCTTCTGTACAGGTTGAATAACAGAACAACGTTGGAAAGTACCTTGGAGGTCCTCTAGTCCAACCCCTCACTCAAGCACGAGACCCGACACCATTTCAGACAAATGGTTGTCCGGTCTCTTTTTAAAAGCCTCCAGTGATGGAGTACTCAGAACTTCTGAATGCAAGCCATTCCACTGGTTAATTGTTCTCCCTCTCAGGAAATTTCTCCTTAGTTCTACGTTGCTTTTCTCCTTGGTTAACTTCCACCCGTTGCTTCTGGTCCTGCCCTCAGGTGCTTTGGAATAGATTAACTCCCTTAAAACCCTAATTGGGACTAGAATTTCAGGAGTAGGTCACTGTGGTCACAGCACCCAGGTGACTGGATCTGATCCCCGCCCCCCTTATTTTTACAGTGTTTACAGCAGATTCTAGGAGTTGAAGTGCACAAGTTGCCAAGTTTGGGGACCCCTAGTTTACAGTGTCAGATCTAGGGTACATCCCATCAAGGAGAGGTTTGCTTCAGTCTTCCCTCCCCTCTGGCGCCATGTGGCATTTACTGACCAGGGCAAGCAGCAGCTAACATGGGCAAAGCCTTCTTATCTTCTACTCGTCTCTGGAAACGTTGCACAAATTCCCGCTGGTTCTCTAGCAAGCTGAAGTTCCTGGTGAAAGTTGTATCAAAGACAAAATGCACCCCTGATAAAGGAGAAGGAAGAGAAAGAAGTGTTGAATAGTTACAACGAGGAAGTGCAACTCAGGATGGCATTTGGTCAATCAGCTGCAGCAACCATCGATCAGCAGCAACAATTTCACAGGACTTATGAATGGTATTTCATTAGCTCATGCAGCTGGCCAAGATTACAGAAAGGACTGTACAGATTTCTGTACGGCACTGTTAATGCTAGGCTGGAGCAAATGGATAGTCTTTGATTATAAGAAGTTCCAGCCTTATTTGCAGTGAGTTCTTTACATACTTTGAATGCTGCTTCTTTCCTTCTCAGTTGCTATTTGTAAGCTGCCATCAAATTCACCCTGTACTGCTTGAATTTTCATATCTGATCTTTCTTCCCTTTTCCCCCCTAGCCTCCTCACAATTCTGAATGCAAATTAAAGTATTACATTTGCAAAGCATTAGGAAATCACAATAACTGAATACAGGAGTAGAGTATTGGATAAGATTACTTTCTCATTTATATCATGTGCTTGATGATTTCCACATAAGTGCAGAAACGGAATTTTCTTATAGCTACCCTGTTCAATTTCTCTGCAAGTGTTTCAGAACAGCATAATCCAGAATTTTTCGCAACTTCCCAGAAATATGATTGAATTATTTTACACTCATTTTTGTAGGCTAGTTTCCATGCTTATGGGTGATAATGATTGAATTATTATAATTAGTATAAGATGAGGAAAAACATTTTACTACCTTTTAAATATGTCAGCTTATATAAATGTCAATGCATATATTTTAAATTTGTTTTATTTTCTCACATTTCCCATATTTCTGTCTAACACTGCTTAGGTATGACACACAAATGACTTTGATTTGGATTAATTTGCTCGGATTAGCTCAGCATCCCTTTTGAGAATTTTAAGGAGCAAACTTTATATGCAAATCTCCATTTTTAGATGAAAACTACTCACCTAAATTCTTAAAGAAGGCTGTCAGCTTTTTAGCGGTGTCTAAAGGAGTCATTCCAAATCTTGCAGCTAAAGAAGCTCTGGACTGTGGAGATATAGACACCACCACCAATTTCTTGGGAGGACTGGATGCCTTTTAGTTTAAAAAAAGAAAAAGAAAAAACAGTAACTCTCCACTGACCTAACACATTGATATTTGTATAACATAAGGCAGGTAAACTATTTCCATGCATTTATTATCTAATACATTAAACATACCTTTTCACTAGAGGAGCAAAAATTAATATTAACATTTGACTCATGATGAACATGTCCCTTCTCTCTCCCTTCCCCCCCAAATATTCAAGGTAGATAATGATTAAAAATGGTAATGGAAAAAGAGAAAGTGGGAAGCCATTAAAATATAACTTCCTGCTTAGTGCAAGAATCAAAATTAAATGCAACATCATCATCGTTAGGCCTTTGGTTCCAATTTGTTCCCTCTGCCCTATTGAAATACATAATAAATCCATACTAAAATGCTAAATCACTTTACCTTATTGGCATTTAATACTCTGGAGAGCTCTTCGTGGCTCTGCTGAGTGATGAGGACGCTCTCTGCTGACGTGATGCAACCACTGCAGGCCAAGCAGTCGTTGAGGGTAATCTTGGCCTTTTCCAGTTTTTGTGACCCTCCGTCCTAGGAAGGAAGTCATCGAATGGACTGCTGTCAGCATCCTGAAAAAAGTAATCGCGATGGGGATCCACAGGGAAGATCAAATGAGAGCTGTCGCCACACAAACGAAGCCCCACCACTTTCCTGCATGCAGCATGGTTGTGTGGCTACCATCTTGATCCTTTTGACGCACATACACACCCCAGGAACAGGTAGTCCTCGACTTACAACACTACATTTAGTGACGGTCAAAGTTACAACAGCACTGAAAAAAGTGACTTATAGCCAGCCGTGTTTCACATCTACATGCATTGCAGAATCCCCAAGAATCACAAATTTGGATGTTTGGCAACCAATTTACACTGATGATGGTTGCAGTATCCTGGGATCATGTGATCCTGTTTTGTGACCTTCTGATGAACAAAGTCAATGGGGAAGTCAGATTCATCTAACAACTGTGTTCCTAATTTAAAAACGACAATGATTCATTTAACGAATGTGGCAAGCAAAGTTGTAAAATGGGGCAAAACTCCCTTAACAAATGTCTCATTTAGCAACAGAAGTTTTGGGCTCAATTGTGGTCTTAAGTGGAGGGCTACCTGTACTCATGCTCATTTCCTACTTTTGTTTACAGGGTTCCCACTATCAAAGACAATAGAGGTGTTACAGATTTCTTTTGTTCTGCTCAACAGTGATTTGTACTAGACTATACTCTTGAGAACACTAATCTGTTGTCAAAAGTTGGAGTTTCACAGCAAAAACTAAGGTAAGTTTCTGATTATGACAAAAATGAACCACATCAATTGTTGGTCCACAAATCTAGAATGCCTTCCAGCCCAACAAAAAGTTCTGCTAAAGATGATTTGTGTTGAACAGTTACCAATCACTTTAAAACATGTTGAAAAAAAGTTTGTTCTATAGTCCCTAAAACACACTCAGACAGGGGAAAGAAAACTTTACCTGGTCAACTTGGAAATAAGTTCCATCATCTTCAATACGGATCTTAGCTGCTACTTTCCCAGACTTGTTAACTTTGATTGGTTTTATGCATTCCTGAAAGGGAAATCAAACAATTTAATCAATAAGACAACAAACATCTGTAATAAAAACAAAACAAATATAAAAATATGTGGAATTAAACATTTAAAGTTTAACTTAAACCAAGCTTCCTAGGTGAATCACAAATATAACTATGATCTGGCTGGCATTATATTCATCCCCTTCAGAAAACTCTGAAGTTTTCTGTGAGTCTACTAAATTGATTTCCACAGGCACCACCTTTTCCAAGCTTAAAACATAGATATGGATCTTAGATGTCTAACATGGAAAACAAATGAAGCCAATGCTCCGCAAAAGAGGAAAAAAAATATTTGAAAAAAATGAAACAAGATGTAATTTGCTTACAGTAAACCTGTATAAGAAAAAAAGGTAAAAAATATTTGATTTACAATATATAAATTATTGCTCAAAAATATTTGTTTTACAAATTATTTTGACCAAGAATTTATATCCTCAGGATCAATGAAGAAAAAGTGAGTTGTTTTGTAAACGCACAATTGATGATCTTGATAGATATGTAGAAAAAATCAAATGAGACTAAAATTATAATAATCAGAACATACATATCTAATGAAAACTATATTCTTTAAAGGATTTACAGAAAAATTACTAGATTTTTAATGAATGAATGAAAATTGGTGTGCCTTGGGAAACTGGAATTATTTTTTCAGAATGAGTTAAAAAACTGTTTTTTGCATCAATTAATGCAAGATAAACTGCGAAATACAAAACTACCAAAAGTTATGTTTTGAAATGACAGAGAACTTTTGAGCTCATAGATATATGGAAACATATAAATGGAAATGTTAAAGAACATACATACTTTTCTGAAAGACACAAATCCTTTTCAAGAATAGATACGTTTTGGGTTTCTAAGAAATTAGCTGTATTAGTAAAAACAAAGATACTACCAAACATGATCTCACATTTTAATCCAGTGTCTTTGACATAATGAGAAAGCAGAATTTACAGATGGAGGTTAAATGGGACTCTTATTACAAAAAGAATAAGTAATCAAGGACTATAAAAAAAGAACTGAAGTTTTTAAAGAAGCTAAATAAAAGTACAGACACAAGAACAAAATGGAACACAAGTGAGGATAATATATAAGAGGATAATTTATAAAGAGCAACAAAGTTGTTTAGGAGCCCGGAGACTAAAACATATGAAGAACAGTTGCTGGAACAGGCTATGTCTAGTTTAAAGAAAAGGACTAGGGGAGACATGATAGCAGTGTTCAAATATCTGAGGGGCTGCCCCAAAGAAGAGGGGGGTCAAGCTATCCTCCAAAACACCTGAAGGCAGGACAAGAAGCAATGGAGGGAAACTAATCATGGAGAGAAGCAACCTAGATCTAAGGAGAAATTTCCTAAGAGTGAGGAAAATTAACAAGTGGAACGATTTAGTCTTGATCACGGAGGGATTTCAGATGAAATCTTAGTAAGACCACACTTGGAATGCTTCATCCAGTTTTGGCCATATAAAAAGGAAGCTGAGACTCTTGGAAAGAGTGCAGAGAAGAACAACTAAAATGATTAAATGCCTGGAGACTAAATCATATAAAGAACGGCTGCAGGAACTGGGTGTGTCTAGTCTAATGGAAAGAAGGACTAGGGGAGACAGGAGAGCAGCAGTGTTCCGATATCTCAGGGGCTGCCCCAAAGAAGAAGGAGTCAAGACATTCTCTAAAGCACCTGAGCGCAGGACAAGAAGCAACCGGTGGAAATTAACTGGGGAGAGAAGCAACTAGGAGAAATTTCCTGACAGGGAGGACAATCAACCAGTGGAACAACTTGGGGGTAACATCAGAAGGGGTGGGCGCTCCATCACGGGAGGCTTTCAAGAAGAGCCTGGGCAGCCATTTGTCCGGAGCAGAAGAGGGTCCCCTGCTTGAGGAGGGGGCTGGACCAAGAAGACCTCCAAGGTCCCTTCCAGCTCCGTTATTCTATGTTCTACATGAGAGCACTGTGCCTGTTTCCCTGCTGCTTGCTGGGAGGGGAGCGCCCAAGGCCGGAGGGGAGGGCGAGAGCAGCCTTCCGGGCCCGATGCCAAGTGGACAAGAGGGCCGTCAACAGCCATTGTTATACCGCCCGGCTCCTTTTACAAACCACGCAGAAGCTTTCACAACTGCCCAAGAATGGAGCTCTTTGAAACTGAGGCTGCTTCCTAGACATGGAAACCCCAACCGCAGCGAGGGTGTGAGGAAGCCCGTCCTCCCGGCGGCCCTTTGGGGCACAACGACGCCGCTTCGGCCAACGGAGAAGGGCAGCTCCTGCCAGCCACGCTCGCCCACCTGACAGGGCTACCGATAAGGCCTGCGAGGGTCGCTTCGGCCAAGGGAAGCGGACCCCAAACTGGCGCCCACCTGCGAGGGGCCGATGAAATCGTCCAGGTCGGTCAGCTGCAGAGCGCCGCTGAAGGGCGACGCCACCGCCATCTTGCGCCCGCCGTAAAATCGTCGTAAAGCGCTTCTGCCAAAGGCGGCGATGACGCTAACAGGCCCTTCTGTCGTAAAAGCCACCGCGAGGCAGGCCTAGGAGGCTCCGCCCACTCTCCGGGGGGTGGGGCGGTTTAAGTGACAACGAGGAAGACACACGAGGCTCCGCCCATTCTCCTCCTGGGGGGGGGGTGGCGGTTTGAGGGACAGGGAGGCAAACAAATGAGGCTCCACCCATTCTTCGGAAGGGCGGTTTGAAAGACTCTGAGGGAGGCGCACGACGCTCTGCCCATCCTCTGGAGGAAGGGGAGGATGACAGTTTGAGGGACCGCTACACAAACACACGAGGCTCCGCCCATTCCCTTCCTGGGGTGTGTCGGTCGGAGGCAAGCAAACGAGGCTCCGCCCATTCTCTTCCGAGGGGAGGGTGGCGGTTTGAGAGACCGCGAGGCAAACAAACGAGGCTCCGCCCATTCGCGGGGAGGGGGGGGCAGGGGAGAAAGTGGCGGTTGGGGGCGAAGAGTCTTTGGCTGGGAGGGAGAAACTGACGGGGCATTTCAGAGGCTGCGCACTGGCGTTGCGCTCCAGGACCTCAACGGGGGCGGGGGGGGCGGGGGGGGTGTCTCCCAAGGCCCCCTCAGCCGTCGCCGAGTAAATGGGGGCGACCCTCCAATTCACAGTGGGGTCTATCGGCTGCTCCCCAAAAAGCCTCGGGCTGCACTGACCGAACTTCTCAGTCTCCTACCAGCCTTGCGAGGTAGTCCAGACAAGAAGCGCAGCCAGAAGGACTAGCTCTTAATTTTATTGTTAAGGTTATATTCAGTTTTGAAGACAGCAAAGTCCACTTTTTGAGTAAAGAGGAATTTTGGGGGGGGGGGGAGGCTTTTTTCCCCTTAGGACATGTTTCTCCTGTTTCTCCTTTGGGGAAATATAATATTCTACCCTCTTTTAATGTCCCCCAAAATATTTCATCATCTGAGGAGGGGGGCTTCTCACAAATCCATCTCATCCTGGGAACCCTTTTTTTTTTTGAACTATTACCATCTGTACAGAATATTAAAAACAAGTACAAATAGGGTGAAAAACAGTTTCTATCCCAGGGCAGTAGCTCTATTGAATTCTACTGTATAGTGCAATATTAATGCAATATTAGGGGTTTTCAATTCAATGTATAGAATGTGAAGGATGTTTGTTTGTGTTTATTTTCATAGTACACTTGAAGATGGTATTTAATTTCGTTGTACGAGGTGCAATGACAATTAACTAAACTAAACTTTTACAATACTAGCCAATACAGTATCAACAGTAGAGACCTTCAATGTTCTAGGTTCTATAATTTCTCAAGACTTAAAATAAACACCTAACATCCATTTATGTCAAGACTAAGCAGCCCCCTCTCAAGGGGTCGGGATAAGACACCCACTTATCCCCAATTTACAGTGCAAGTCCTTTTGGCTACTCCAAGAAGATTCCACACCTCTGGTTCAGGTGACCCTGAGGTCCCAGGTAAAACCCCCAAGGAACCACAACGGCCCTCAGAAAGAATTAAGATAGTTGGCTGCACAGAAAACACAATATTTCAACACACGCACACACACACCATCCTGTCAGAACCCATCATTCCCCGCCTCTCACCAACTAATCTCAGCTGTCAACTGTCTTTCCATCTCTCCCGCAGCATCCAATACAACTGATGAAGCTTCCCAGATAGGAATCGGTCCAGTTGCCTTCTCAAACTAAATGCCACTTTTCAATATTCCCAGAATCATGGAATATCAGAACTACCATCGCTGAATCAAGAAGGCGTGTCAGATATCCTTCATTGCACAGCAGCGTGCTTGAATTAATTTGGTTTGCTTGTTCTTTTTCTGAAGCTTTTCTTCCTTGACTAACAGTCATAAATGATTGTTATTTAGGTGGATTCCAAAGGTGGTGCAGAAGAACCCAGATGAAGGAAGGCAGGGTTTGGATTCTTGGCTTTGGAGGCTGCAAATCCAAAGCCAGCAGACCAAGGACTTGTGCAAAGGAAAACAGGACCTGGATGAAGGGAGAGAGCTATTGGGTGCTCATTAGATAACCTGGATAACTGTTTCTACTGCTGACCCCCTTTTCCTTTTCCAGATTTCTGGGTGAGGCTATGGAAGGTATAAAAGGTTGAATAGATCAAGTCTTTGTTGAGGGGGAAGAGAGATTTGTTGATACAAGAAGAGAGAGAGACATTTTTGTAGATGAACAGGACTTGGGTTTTCCTCTTTTGGGTTTGACCTTGGGATGGTTGGTTGGCCTTGGAGGGAACCACCACCGACTAAAACCAGAAATCTTCTCTTCTTTCCCTGCCCCTTTACTCAGAAATGGACTACTGTTCCTTGAACTCATGCAACCAACCAGTGCCAACTTAAAAAGAATTTCTTGGGCCCCCAGGGATGACCACCTTGGTAATCTTTGGGCTTTATGTGCTGGTTGTGTTTTTCTACACCTGTGCACCTGTTGCTACTGCTCATTCCGAGAGAGTGGCATCACTACAACCCAGGAAACCCTAGGGCACTGAAAGCAGGGGTAATAATTGAAGCAAAATGGATAGCTTCGGTGATGACCAGTGTGATCTGCAATGTTTAATATTGGTGTTAAACTGTAGGCCCCTCCTGTAATGCTGGGAGTATGACTAGATAAATCTTGGAATTTTCCACACCCAACCGAGACTTTTAGGCCTTTCACTTGATGTTCATAACCTCACTCACATCAGAAGCTCAAGAGATCCAACACAGCTAAATTAGTTATTTTATTGTAGACAAGAAAGAAGCCATATATATATATATCTAGAAGGTTTGCCTACTGCAGAAGACAAAAAGTCAATTATTTCTCTGTATCCTTTACATGGTTTAAATTTTAGACTCTTTTTGAGACTCTGGAAATTTGATGGTTTTCTTTTCAGCCTCATGAAAGACTCCCAACATATCTGTTCTAGGTTTGCAAAATGGTTCTGTCCAGCCTGAGAATCCCTTGTTTCCATCTCACTAGATCCAGCTCTTGCGAGAATGAAGCCTGATCGTCTGGCAACAGCCCCATGGCCTTCCAGATTGCGGGGCGGGGTGTGTGTGTGTGTGACGGATAAGGGATTTAATACTGTTAACTTCTGGTTTTTCATCCTCTTCTCATCTTCTATAGTCCCAAAGGTCATCAGATTTCCCATCCTATTTCTGAGCTTGTCCCAGAAGGACAGAAGTAGGGAAGGGGGGGAGAGGGGAGATATTCTGCCCCAGTGACATTTGCAGGGGGTGGTGGTTACATACAGGAAGTCCTCGACTTACAGCAGCTGATTTAGTGACTGTTGTAACTTTGAACGGCCCTGAAAAAAGGGAGCCATGACCATTTCCCTCCCCACCCCCCAAGCATTACAGCATTCCCATGGTCCCAGGATCCAAATTCAGACATTTGGCAACTGGCCTGAATTTACGACAGTTGCAGTGTCCCTGGGATCATGTGATCCCCTTTTGCGACCTTCTGACATGCCAAGTCAACGGGGAAGCCGGATTCCCTTAACAACCATGTTATTCATTTAACAACTGCAGTAGTTCACTTAACAACTGCGGCAAGAAAAGTTGGGGTAAAACTCAGCAACTGTCTTGCTTAGCAACAGAAATTTGGGACTCAGCGGTGGTCATAAGTTGAGGACTACCTGTAACCAGGTCACTTGAAGTGCATAACAATTTTATTTTCTATCCACACACTTCTTCATAAACTAGCTTGCAGGTTGGGATTCTGGTTAAAAGGCACAGGAAAAAGTTTTAAATGTTGTATTCCTGTTTTCATGAGGGCCTCGTTTGAAACAGGAAGAATAGTTAGCAATAGCACTTAGACTTATACACCATTTTACTGACCTCGGAAGGCTGAGTCAACCTTGAGCCTGGTTAGATTCAAACTGCCAAATTGCAGGCAGCCGGCAGGCAGTGGCTCTTCCATACAATCTGCTTCATTTCCAATCCCTTGAAGAGGCAGCTTTCCTGTTGGAAAGACTTCAGAATCCACACTCATAAACTGGGATGGACAAAATGGGCCTCAATGCATGAGTGGGAGGGCTGCAGAAACAGCAAACTTTGGGCCCAAATCACAGGTTGGCAAAGCTATAAATGCTCTCATTTTGCAACCAGATTGGGATTATTCCTCCAAAAGCTCCACGGAGGATGGGAAGGAGGCATCACTGGTCACAAAGACCATGCGTGAGCTTTGGATTCCACTTCAAACAAAGGACAAAGCTAGAACAGAAGCCAAACCAAATTGAATTAAAATTACATTAGAATTCATACAATCATTCCCCAACGCACATTCCCCTTCTGTTGTATTAAAAAAAATGCAGTATAGACAACAGCTTTTGAAGGGTCCTGGAGGCTGCAATCATGGATGAGGAGAGCTGGATGCCATTACGGTGCACCACAGCTGCAGAAGGTGATGGGTTTACTCTTTTTGCTGGCTCCATTTGACACACACACCCCACAATTGCAAAAAATTCTACCCTGTTTCTGCCAAAGAGTCCTTCCAAACACCTGGGGTTGTCCTTCTGATTTAAAGAAACCCTGCTTTGTCGCCAAAGGAAATGCCATCGGCACGTCCAAGTGAAGATGGGCGAAAAATGTAAAATAAAAGCAATGACAGCAATAGGTTTACAAGCAACAAAGCAGAGAAGGAAGTTGGCTCATGGAAAGTCCCAAATCCCTATAGGCAACTCCTGCGTAAAAGAGGATCATGGCTTGGAACAGGTGCTGTGAGTCTTCCAAGATCCATAACTTCCACCTGGAGAGGCCTGCAGACCCTCGGGGCAGCACAATTAAGAGTCCAATGTTAGCAGACACGTGACGTGGAGGGATGTTGAGTTTCATTGTGTGCTTCAGAAGAGACCACACTTCTGCAAAGGGATTCCTTGGGTGGATCCAACAGCCGCTTTCTCCTTGGAATCCCACCGTCATCTCTATCTTCAACAGTGCTCTGGATCCGTGGCAGTAGAAGTGCACTTTCCAGACTTGGGCACTAGGAGCCCGTTGCAAGAAAGCAAACTTGGGAATTCAAATTCCAGGCCAAGCTTTGAAACCCGAAACCGATCATTTAGCCTTTGCTAGGTCAAAAGGAGATGGCCGAGGACGTCAAAAGCATGTCCAGATTATTATTATATATTTTTTTAGCCAGAAGCAGTTTGTGCTGGAGGTGAGCATGATCAAACCAATCATTAAAAAAAAAGAAAAGAAGCACTTTATGAATTCCATCTTTCTTTCCTATTAGTGAAAATATATATTATATGTATATACATATATATTTATGATCTTAAATAAACTATTCTCCAATTCTGAGAAGATATTTGGCCTCTCTCGGTGCAAGGTGGGATCCTGGCTACTTGAAATCTGCCAGAATATCGCTGAAGATGTTCAGGAAAAGATGCGCGTGGTGGTCTCGGAAGACTAGAGTGGGCCGGAAACGGATTGATCGGTCCCCACTGCCACCTAATACCACACCTGAGGGAAGAGAAAGAAAAAAGAAGGAAGTTGCAGATTCAGCTCTCTTTAATCACACACAGAGTTTTCCATCACAAAATCCCCTGGAGACTGGCAGGGGTATCATCATGTTTAAGTAACTAATCAAATAAGCAACCAATCAATCAGAATAGAGCTGGAAGGGACCTTGGAGGTCTTCTAGTCCACCCCCCCTGAGCAAGCAGGAGACCCTATACCAGTCCAGACACATCCAGTTTCTTCTTGAAAACCTCCAGTGATGGAGCCCCCACCACCTCTGAAAGTCACGGGTTAATTGTTCTCACTGTTAGGAATATACAATACATAGCTTGGTAGATATTCGAAAATATAATCTCTACCAAATCATTCTGGCAAAAGTGAGCTTAGGTGGCAGATACCGAGAGTCAAAAGAAGTCAACTAGGATGCTGGAGATACCAGGCTTGGAGGAAAAGGTTGCACCCATCACCCCCAAGAAGAAGGTGGCCAGCCCTACATACTGTAGATGGGGAAGATCATGGAACCAAGGTTTCAGGGATTTAAAGCTATGGTGGGGCAAATACAGAATATTGGAGACGCCAAGAGCAATTTTCCCAGCCTCCTTCATACGGAGTTCATTTGCATGATCTGAAACAATTCTCCCTGGTTTCTCCCCACCTGAATTTCTGTTTATGAGATGAGCTGCTGATAAACACATTTTCTATCTTGATGCTTATATCTCTCCTTCTCTTCTTTGCGTTTCCATAATTTCTCACGGCGGGGGAGGGACGGGGGATTTCTTGAAGGCCATCTAAGAGGACAGCCTTAAGTACAGGTAATCCTTGCCTAATGAACACAACTGAGGCCAAAAGTAATAGTTGTTAAGTGAGTTTTACGACCTTTCTTGCCACAGTTGTTGAGTAACACAATTGTGAAGTGAACCTGACTTCTCTGTCTGACTTTGCTTGTTGCAAACTGCCTGGGAAGTGATCACATGATCCTGGGATATGCAACAGTCATAAGTACATGCCAGTTGCCAAGCATCCAAATTTTGGTCATGCGACTTGGGATGCTACAATGGTCGTAAGTGTGGAAAAACGAAGTCACTTTTTTCACTATATGTGGAATTCATTAGATCAGGAAAATATGGGGGATTTGGAGGTGTAATGGAGAAAGGGCTGGAGGTCAAAGGTCAGCCTGTGGCTGAAATAGCAGGCAGCGCTTAGCTTCTAAATCTGACCCACGTGAAGGATTCAACTGAATTGTGAGAATCTTAGATAAGCAGACCAAATGAGGAGAAAAAAAAACTAGAAGACTCTTGCACCCAGCGTCTCAACTTTCACTAGATGCCCCTCATCAGGTTTTTAATGAAAGCTGGAAATAGAATAGGCAAGTCTATTTCTTCAGCTTGGGGGTATCAAAAGCTTGCTTCTTTGTCCCTACGCTTTATATATTTCATTACCCAACTAGTGCTTGATGATATTATCCAGCTTGGTAATGAAATATCTGCAAGAAAACAACCAAGCTCAGAGAGAACCAAGAATTCTACAGTTCAACCTTGGGTGACAGATCTATTTGAACCCATGATTTATAAAATGCCAATTTTTCATGAAAGCATGGCTTTTCTTTTCTTGTTTTCCTCCCTCCTTCATTCAAAATTGAATCTATCTATTGCCATTTTATCATTATTAAAATTATATATTTATCATTATTATTATATGAGCAGTTGTCCATTTAGGCATAATTTAGTCTGATTAAAAAAAGTCTCAGTAGGTGGCGCTGTGTGATTGATCTCATTTGGAAGTTCAGCAATCTTGTAATATTTGGGAGCCTGTTTAGTATGTGGAAGGGGATGGGAGACCATCAGGAGATTTTAGGACTGCAGACTAGACTGTGAGGTTTAAAAAAAATATCCGAAGAAAGCAGTAGCAAATTGCTACTATTATTTTTGCCCACCCCAACTTGAGGTCAAACTCAACTTGGAGGTAGTTTTTTTTTTAAAAAAAAAAAACATGAAATAAGATCTATTAGGTACTTCCCAGCCTTTGAGATCCAGTTGTAGGACCCCAAAAACCCAGCCCTGGTTCAGAGCACAACACCTTACCTTTGTTTCTTGCTATTTCAATGAACTTGTTCCGAATTGTGTCATTTGGAGTGTCAAAGGAGCAGAACGTCCCTCGTCCCCGGGCTCGGCTGATCAGATGGGGATATCGACTCTACAAAAATGGGAAAAGTAGATCAGTTTGTCATCTTCTTGGAAAACCAGGCAAGGCATGCTGGGGAAAAAACAGGGAAAGGAAATATAAGAGCTGTGGGTGGTGCAGTGGTTAGAATGCAGTATTGCAGGCTAATTCTGCTGACTGCCTGCAGTTCGATCTTGACGACTCAATGTTGACTCAGCCTTCCATCCTTCCGAGGTGGGTAAAATGAGGACCCAGACTGTTGGGGGCAAGAGGTTGACTCTGTAAATCACGTACAGAGGCCTCTAAACAGGTTTTATTGCTATAATTCCCAGACACATATGTTCCTCTTGGCTTCTAGGTACTCACTAAGAAAGGATATTTCGAAATGACCATCAGAGCATTTGTACTTTCTATATTATTATTAACACTCTCTGATGCTAAGGAGTTCCACTCCCCCTCCCCACCTGAAAAGAAATCTCTTCCAAATGCAAAACACAAGCAGAGAGGAGTTTTAGTTTCAGTTTCACAGCACTTTAGTACAGAACAGTTGAGCTAAGCCACGTCCAGGCTCCTTGCCATCTCCTTCTTGCTCACACAGCAAATACTGCTTCAGTTTCCAAACAGCCCTCAACTCTCTCACACACTGACAGGACGCTAGCCAGATGAATACCGATGGATGCTGGTAGGCAGAGGCAGAATTCCCCCCCCCTTATTTTCCTCCCAAAAAACTAAGCCTGACCACATAGTTTCGTAGCAAAGCACAGGTATTGAGCTAGTATTTAAGTACAAAAACCCAGTTTTGTCCGTGTGATGACCCAGAGTATACCAGAAATATAACAAAACCCAAAACGTAACTAAAAGTCCTTTAATGCCTTCAACTTGGCTTCACTGTTTAATTGTTCACAGTGGAGGAGTACACTATTTTCAAAATAACACTTCAAAGGAAAGAAACACAGTTCAAAGTCAAAGAGCCGATAATGAAGCAAAAACCAAAAACAAACCGCACTGAATAAAGTTCCCACGACAGACCAGGATACATAATTGCCAACTTCAGGAAGATAACCAGGTACAGTCCGTTGGAAGAACGCCGACCAAGATAAACCTTCTTTAGGAATAAAACACTTAATTTGTCTCCAGCGTCTATTAGCACGCAGGTCTAACCTTTTATGCAGATCTCACACCTGCAACCCATGAAGAGGATCATGGCCCTCTCCTCCCGAGTAGCCCACGTCTCTCCCTTATCCTCTCCTCCCTGTGTGCCCTAGGATGGATAGGGGATGGGCCTGGATCCTCCTCTGCCTGCCCAGCCGGCCTGTGCCCTTCCCCAGCCTCCTCCACAACCTCCGGAGCCACACTCCCACTCCCTGTTCCTCCTCTTCCTCAGAGTCAGACTCCACCAGGAGCATGACACTCTGCGTCCAACAAACTGTCCGAATCTGTTACTTTGCAAGAAAAAATACTGGAAGCTAATAGCAGAGTTTGCCCCCATAATGCTGGATCACAGAGTAAACAGACTGGGATACCCAATGTGGCAAATCATGAACAAAGTCATTGAATTATGTTTACCAGACTTGGGCTGTAAAACGGGACACACACAACTAGCTTTTTGCTTATCGCCCCCATATTATCGAATCCACAACGTAAACCAAATCTATTTCACGAATCCCAATTAAATCAAAGGGCTGTTTTTAAAAAGGGCACCGCATCCTGAGATTTCCCACTTCACATCAGAACTGTGAGCACCACCATCCCCGCTTGGTCGCTGAAGGTGTGTCCCTTACCTGTAATTCCAGCAGCCCCATCAACAGCACCTTCCCGGCATGGTTGACGTTACTCAGAAGGTCCTCCCTTTTTATGACGTTAATGACCTCCGCTAGCAGAAGGTTCTTGGAAGGGTCCCCAAGCCACGTGTTAAAAATCCTATACGGCTGCAGGATAGAGGATCCAACAGAGAGAAAAGAAGAAGGTGGGGGGGAGAGAGGAACATTTAGCCCCCTTCCTTTTGCTTCCGCATACAAATAGGCCTTGAGTTAACAGCTATTCAGACCATAACTGTTCAAAAGTTACAACGGCACTGAAAAAGGGACTTAGGATCAGGAGTAGCCTTCAAAAATTTCAGCAACCAGTTTCTCTGCCCAGTTGCTGAGTGGGCGTGGCCATGGTGGGCGTGGTGTAATCGGCCTCCTGCACCATGATCAGGGGGACTCGGGAGGCTTTCCTCCCCATTCCCTCCCCACCCCGCTAACCTGCTTTCCAGCTCCGTTCTCCGGGGCAGGGCAACCAAAGAAGACCCAGCCGATCAGCTGGGACTTGGGAGGCAGAGAACAGATGGGGTTGGTGGGGCCAGTCAGAGGTGGGATTGGCCAGTTCTCCGAACTACTCAAAATTCCCCCTACTGGTTCTCCAGAACCTGTCAGAACCTGCTGAATACCACCTCTAGGACCAAGGTTGACCAACGGAACCTACTGCATTTGCCCGGAATTCCTCCTTGTGGAAAAACCCTCCGGTCATCATCTTCTTGCTGAACGTTAGGACATCCGCTGGGTCCTCGAGCCCCCAGTGTTCGTGGGCCCAGAATTTGCCAGTACAGCCACCTCCTGTTTGCACCTCGTCTATCAAGAAGGCGCAGCCGTGCTGTGGAGAAATCACATCTGGGTTTTAGTCCCTTTAAGAAAGGAGTTGGGAACAATTTAAGAAGGAGGCGAAAACGTTCTGATTTTATGTCAAAGCTCACCTTTCTTGCGATGTTTCTCAATTTCCTAAAAAAGTCATCTGATGCGTGATTGTCCCCTCCTTCGGATTGAATGGGTTCCACGATGATTCCTGCAACAACTTTATTCTTTTTCCTGTATTTAACAATCAAATCTTCCACCTGCAAGTTAGAACACAGCAAGAGATTGTTTTGAGACAAGAAACAGATCACTAACATGCCTTTTATCTTGTTCCAATTCATCGTGACAATTTTATTAAATTCCAGGGAGCAATCAAGAAGGATTGGTGATGTTTTTGCAGCATTGAATAACCTTCTGCAAAGAAGAAACCTCCAAACGAATGGGATCTTTTCTATCTGGGTTGGCAATTACGGAAGCTGAGATTCCACACATTTGGACGGGATCGAAGGTTGGAGAAAAATGACCCATGGGCCAATTTGTGAGTAACATCTGCTATAATCTGGTGTTAAATAAAAGAACCCCATTGGAGGCATAACCTGCTGGTTAAAGTTAATAATATACTGTATACAAAATAAATTAAACAAATTGAGAAGAAATGTGGTTGATATTAATAAAGAGAAACACATGATTATGAGTTGGATTTTATCCAAAGCGATTGCTCCAAAAACAGAAACCAAACCACACCTAACTGAGAAATGCCCATTTCTTGGTGTATCTTCCCCCCAATTTTAATCTGACAGATTCCTTCCTTCCTTGGCCTTCTTTAAAAGAGTATTAACCAAGGTGCATTTTGAAGAGGTGATCTTCTGCTTGAGTTTCAGTTTCCAATCCAATGGAAGCATCTCCTTGGTCTCCAGAGAGCTCTGAGAAATCACGCCCTACCCTGAGAAGGACTCAACTCTTTCAAAACCAAGGCTAACCTGGAGAATTAGGACATCACCTCAACGTGGTCTTTCAGCAGCTGCGACATGTCAACGGTCTTTCTCCAACCGTGATTTCCATTCTCTGATGAGCTTTCTGTGCTACTCTGCCAATTTTTGCCCTAAACCCAAACCACATCAATATCAAGAAGGTCCATGGAAAAGAAGATTCGGACTATTTCATAACACGGGAACTATTCTATAAATGGTTAAATGACAGATATTGAAGTTAGAGGAGTGGAATTAGGTGAAATATGGTTTATAGGAGAAAGAAAAACATTTCGGTAAATATTTCTGACTGTTATATAATTGATACTATAATGGAAGATAATATATGTTACAATATGATTGATGTTATCATATTTGTTTATATATTACTGCATATTTGTTTATATATGTGTGTGTGTGTTCATAATAATGATGACGTTTGTATGTTAACACCTTGGACACCTAAAGAGCACACTGTTCAACATAGAAAGGAAATGTATGATATAAAACAATAAAAAATATTTCCAAAAAAAAAGAAGGCCCATAATCTGGTCTGACTAACCTCAGTGTGCTGTCAATTGTAATGCATTCAGAACTAAACCTAGGCTAGCATCGTTGGTGAACCCAATCACTTCCTCCACCTGGCAGGTCCTACAACACTTTGTATTTGAAACCCTGAAGGGTTTGGAGCAGGTGTCCATCGTGATGCATCTAGAATTCAGAAGATTAAACCTCTGGTTCCAGGGTCCAACTCAGTCTGGATCTTGCAACATTATCCTGGGACACGTATATCTGCTTTTGTTCGTGAGGTTGATTAAATCCAAAGGCGCTTTTTTTTTCAAGTGGCAACTGGACTTATTGGTTTTTCTTTTGAAGACGTTTTGCTTCTCATCCAAGAAGCTTCTTCAGCTCTGACTGGATGGTGGGGAATGGAAGGATTTCTACTCCTTGCAGACAGCTGGTCATTTGCGTCCTTTCAGAGGGTCGCTGAGGCCACTTGGAGGTTTACCTGTGTCCTCAGGATCACCTGAATGGTGCAAATGGGTGTGGAGCTTTCTTGGAATTGCTGAAAGGACTGTGTTATAGACTGGAGATAGATGATGCTGTATCCCTCCCCCTCCGTTGATGGAGGGCTGTTCACAGGGGTGGGCTTCAAATTTTTTAGCAAGGTGCTCTCTGCCCTAATGACTGGCTGGGTGGGCATGGCTGGGTGGTCATGTGACTGGGTGGGTGTGGCCAACACACACCAAAAAGTTATTATTTCATGCATTTAATACTTAAATAAAAGACCTATTTAATAGTACATATTATGATAGCAGCAAGAATCCCCTCGGAGGCTAGTGGCTATGTTATCTGATTTTTTTCAATGGCGCTCCTTGCAAACGCTGAGTGGATTGTTTATCTAGTTTGCAACACTTTTACGAGGTGTGAAATGCTCTTGGCTGAATGCCCAGAAGTTCAATTAAGCCTATTAAGAGCTTTCCCTTGCTGCTTGTCTTTCTGAGGTTATTGGGGTCTCTCTCTCTCTCCCCCCGTAGAGTCTTAGCTAGGGGCTCCCCTAGCAGCCCACCCTGGCTGTTCAATTTTGACATAGATGACCTCCTTGACCCCTCTTTCAAACCAGCGGTCCTCTCTTTATCCAAAATGTGGACTTTATTGTCTTCCAAAGAATGGCCTGTGTCTTTTGAATGCTACAACACAATCCTTTCAACAGTTCCAAGACCCATGTACACCACTCAGGTGACATCTGATGGCACAGTTGAACCTACAGGTGATCTTAAAGACTCGCTAAAAGGATGCAAATGACCAGTTGTCTGCATGGAGTATAAATCCTTCCATTTCCCCACCATCCCATCAAAGCTGAAGAAGCTTCTTGGATGAGAAGCGAAACGTCTTCAAAGAAAAACGAAGAAAGTCCAGTTGCCTCTTGAAAAAAAGCACCTTTGGGACAACCATGATTTGGATGACTGAGAATCTCCACAGACATGAGGCTGATTAAAGTTAACTTGGTTTGCTCAGGGCTGAACTAAGTCAGGATGAAGACGGTTTGCGAGCCTCTTCTTTCTTCCTGGAAAAGCAAAGGACGGATGTCCTTTGTGGTCCTTGCTTGATCCTTCTGTGCCGGGTTAATTGAGCAACACAAACTCACTTTACGTCAGCCAACCTCTCCTGCCCGAGGTGCCTTCTGCACTCCGAAGCTGGGCTATCCTCACCTCCTCTAAGCAGCGTGCTTCTTCCTGCTCATTTTCTCGCGCAAAGTCTTCCAAAGGGTACTGCAGCCTTGGGAAGGGAGCGATGGGCCAGTCAAAGGACGGGATGTCTAGCTTGTGAATGGCCTTGGAGTGCGTAGTCGCCAAGCAGCCTAAACAAAGAGTGGGGAAAAAAAACAACCATGAAAACCAGAGGAAACCTTTAAAGACAGACCTCGTCCTGGCCAGATAACACCCTGCAGAAAAACGCTTGCTCAACTGGACAGGAAGTTCCTCTCACTCAACTCAAACCTCACTTTCTCAAGTTGGATGATCGAAGCTGCAGATCTATCTCCAGGCTTCTGTTTGTGTGTTAATTATCCCCAAGTATGATTTTTTTCTGTCGTAGCAGCTGCCTGTTCTGACCCAGCTCCCCAAACACGACAAACCCTCTGGAGTGAACTTAAAAGATTCCTTTAATTAGGAGTGCCAGCAGCCTGGGCAAAAAGTTTCCCTTTTATCGCAGGCTAACAAGTCTGTCCGGCCGGGAGATGAATAGTTGTCTGCCACACCTATTTATTTCCACCCCCTGCCTTTTATCCCCAGAGCTAGGGTGGGTCTTTGCTAGCAGTGGTGGCTCTTCCGTCCCACGGGCCAGTCGATAGATTTCCACTGCTCTCCTCTCCTCTGCCTTCGCATCCACGCATCAGGCACTGGACCCAGCTGTTCCTCCTCTTCCTCATCAGCCATTTCCAGACCTGGGGGCTGTTGACTCTCCATCTAAGGGCTGACAGATGGCCCAGCCTCCACTTCTGACTCTGTCTCTCTGACAGCTCCATTCCCTCTTCCCCCGCGGAGCTCTCAGGCTCGGTGCTGATCTTGACTCCCACGTTTCCTCTCCTTGATTTGGCTGCTGGAGTGGGCAGCAGCCGACAGGCTACAACACTGCTGCTTTTAAACTTGCCACCAATTCAGGGCAGAGGGGAAGCCACTTCTGGGTTGTCAGTTCCAGGCAGCAACAAGAAACTGTCCCGTGGGAACCAAGGTCATCAAACCAGATGTTCAGTAAAGGCCCGGACAGTTCCCAAAGCAATATTTAGCCACCTGATTGGACAATGAGTCCTACCCAAATTTGGGGGGGGGGAGATTCAATTCTTTAATTATCTGAAAACCGTGGGAATTAAACAGAGTTGGTTTTGCTTTTAATCAGTGCCGAAATGATGTACTCAATAAAGCTTTGTATTAAACAAACCAGAGTCCTTCCTACTAGGGATTTTTGATAAGCAAATTTCCAAAAAAGCCAAATACATAACAATAGACATTTTAACAGCGGCCAGATTAGCCTTCGCTCAACACTGGAAACAACATCAAATTCCATCAGAAGAAATGATTATTGAAAAAATCTCAAAATGCGCAGAAATGGATAAATTGACTTTGGCGCTAAAAAACAAAGACACTTCACTATACTACAATAGCTGGAATTGTTGGTATAATTGGATTGACCAAAGATAAATTATATATCATAAGGCATAAAAGAAAAGTATCAACCCATAATAACGAGGTAGCGATATAAGTTAAAAACAGGTGTGGTTATATGACACAAGTTAAGGTTATGAAAACAAAAGAAGATCTTGCAAACTGTTAAAATAAGAATACTTTTTATCTTGTAACCTCTTTCTTTCTTTCTTCCCCCTTTCTTTTTCTTTCTTTTCTCAAAATTCTTTCCCTCTCTTCTTTCTTTTTCTTTCTTTTGCTTATTTGTGTATGTATTGTGACTGGTTTTAATTGTAAAAATTAATAAACTATATTTATAAAAAATAATAATAATAAAGCTTTGTATTAAGAGAGTGGGTTGTCTCATCAGTGCTTGCTCGGTTGGGATGAAAGCACTTGAAAAATTAGGCCTTATCTGACATGATGGGCTATAATCAACCAAGCTATCTTGTTATTATTATCTTATTAAAGCTTGTATTTAATATTGCTTCCAACAACAACAACAAAAACAATAACTCTTTCTTACCCATAGTTCTCCCGTGAAATGCACCCATAAAGGAAAGCATGCTGTATTCTGGGCAACCAGGGGGCTGAAATGCAAAGAGGAAATTAATGCTTATTCATTAGTTAATTAAAATTTAAATTGGGCCACTAGGGGGCAGCCTCTTCCCTAACTGGAATGACAAACTGAATGATAAAACCATTCAGGTCGAGGATAACTTATTTTATTTTTCCAATTTTGCTGTGTTATTAGCAGAAATCTCTCCTCTGTCATGAATATTAATTCAGAGGGCTGGTATTCAGAGCTGAGCCAAGCAGGTTTCAAAAACCAGGAAACGTTATCCCTCAAGATGCGGTCTTATTTCATTCTTTTTTAACAAATTAACAGAGTTGGAAGGGACCTTGTAGGTCATCTAGTCCAACCCCCCTGGCCAAGCAGGAGACCCTACACCATTTCTGATAGATGGCTGTCCAGTCTCTTCTTGAAAGCCTCCAGGGATGAAGCTCCCACAACTTCTGAAGGCAATTTCTGTTCCGTTGGCTGACAGTTTTCACTGTCACAAAATTTCTCCTTATTTCCAGGTTGCATCTCTCCTTGTTCAGTTTCTATCCATTATTCCTTGTCTGGCCTTCAGGGGCTTTGGAGAATAGCTTGACCCCTTCCTCCTCTCTGTGGCAGCCCCTGAAATATTGGAAGGCTGCTCTCCTGTCTCCCCTGGTCCTTCTCTTCCCTAGACTAGCCATGCCCAGTTCCTGCAACCGTTCTTCATATGTTTTAGTCTCCAGTCCCCCCACCATCCTGGTTGCTCTTCTCTGCACTCTTTCTAGAGTCTCAACATCTTTTTTTATATTGTGGTGACCCCTTCTTCAAGCATTATCTTCACAGAAACCATCTTGGGTTAGGCGAGGAGTGATTGGCCCAAAGTCATCCAGAGGACTTTATGGCTGAGCAAAAGATGACACCTAAATTTCCCTAGTCCTAGGTTGACCTCATTAGCCCCTTTGATGCCACCGATCAGTTAGGTAAGAAAAAAACAAATGTACAGGTGCAGATTTGGTGAAACGTGGCTTAATAGCAGTAACTGCGAGAGGGATCGTGGAATGCAAGTGAACAATCCCTTCAATGCCGGTAGGAGCCAGGAATGCGTAACAGCAGTCAAAAAAAGCCAAGGCAAACTTAGGTTGCATTAACAGAGGAATAAAATCAAGGTCACGTGAAGTATTAGTACCACTTTATAAGGCGTTGGTAAGATCACACTTGGAATACTGCATCCAATTTTGGTCACCGCAATATAAAAAAAAAGATGTTGAGGTTCTAGAATGAATGCCAAGAAGAGCAATAAAGATGATTTAGGGGACTGGAGGATAAACACATCAAGAAGAGTTGCAGAATTTGGGTCCAGTCTAGAGAAAAGAAGGACTGGGGGTGACACAATAGCAGTGTTCCAATATTTGAGGAGCTGCCACAAAGAAGAAGAGGCCAACGAGGGATGGGATGCAAAATTTTAAACTACCGGTTCTATGGGCATGGCTAGGTGGGCATGGCTAGGTGGGCATGTGACTGGATGGGTGTGGTTTGTTGGTTTGTTTGTTTTTGCCTAATGGGCCTCAGGGAAGCCTCCTGGGAGCAAAAACGGGGCAGTGGGGGCTGCACAGCACACACACCCTCCCCGCACCCTGTTTTTTGCTTCCTGGACCTCAGGGAAGCTCCTGGATGAAGCAGTACGACAGCGACGGGGGAGAGAATCAGCCGTGCTGCACAATTTAGATTACCTAGAAAGCAAGCAATCCTACGATTTCCTGCTTTCTAGCTAATTAAATCGTGCGGCACAGCTGATCTTTGGAAAACAGCTGATCGGTGGGGGGAAAAAAAAAGGAAACACCTTGATCTTCGGAGCGAACTGGTTCATTCCCAGCTGATCTTTGGAGCTACCAGTTCGCCTGAACCAGGCCAAACCGGTAGAATCCCACCCCTGAGGCCAACCTATTCTCCAAAGCACCAGAAGAGCAGGACAATAAGCAACGGATGGGAATGAATCAAGGAGAGAAGCAACCAAGAACTAAGGAGAAATTCCCTGACAGTGAAAACAATCCTCCAGTGGAACAGCTGGCCTTCAGAAGTGGTGGGTGCTCCAACCCTGGAGGCTTTTAAAAAGAGATTGGGCGGCCATTTGTCTGGAATGGTACTGGGTCTCCAATGCTTGAGCAGGGGGTTGGACTAGAAGACCTCCAAGGTCCCTTCCACCTCTTGCTATTCTATTTTGTTTTCTGTTTCAGTCATCTAGAACGCTTTCTGTTAAAAGAAGCTGCTATATCTGTGGGAAGTCACTGTGCTGGCCTTCATATCTGGGTCACCACATCATATCCAGCTTGGGGAAAGCTATCCCTGCCTGCCCAGGGTGCTTCATAGTTGCTGAAAAAATCTTTGATTTTCAACTACAAAAGAAACAATTGACAACACTCATCCACCCTCCTGTTTTCTAACGGTCCAAACCTTATTGTGGACATTGTCCAGCTTTTAAGAACATAAGGTATGGAAATAAAACAAGAAAACCAAGATAAGATAAAATGAAACAAAAGGTCAATAATAACAGTAGATAAGCCAACAAACTGCAACTTTCTCCGTTTAGATAAGCCACACTCCTCTAAAGCGTGGCTTATCTAAAGGAGTGTTCCTGCTTCAGCGGAAGGAACCATTTTTTAATGAGAAAAGACTGGTTTGAAAATGTAATCTTAGGTGGTTTTTTTTAAAGACCTTTGTAGTTGTGGCCCAGCCTGATTCAAATAATCTGTTTTAAGCTGTTTGTTTGGAAAATTGATCTTGTTCCTACCAATGGTGGGATTCTACCGGTTTGGCCCAGTTTGGGTGAACCGGTAGTAAAAAAAATGCTACAGTTCGTCCGAACTGGTAGTAAAAAAACAGCTACCGGTTGGGCCAAACCGGTATTTCTTTTTTTCCTTTCCTCCGACTATCAGCTGATATCCCTTGCTGTCTTATTGCTTTGTCCAGGCGACTTCCCTGAGGCCCAGGAGGAAAAAGGTGGTGCTGTGCACCCTCCTTGCGCTCCGTTCTTTGGCTTCCTGGGCCTCCTGGGAGCAAAAACGGCCTCCCAGCAGGCTTCCCTGAAGCCCAGGAGGCCAAAAAAACCCCGAAGCATGGGGGGAGGAATTGCTTTACACACACAAAAGAAGCCACGCCTCCCCAGTCAAATGGCCACTCCCATCTAGCCACTCCCACAGAACCAGTAGTAAAAATATTTGCGCCCCACCCCTGGTTCCTACCTTCCAAGAAAAATTTAAGGTGGTTGGGAGAATTCAGCCACTCAGAAAAAAACGTCTCAACTGGTCGGAAAGAAAGGGATGGATTCAGTGGAGTTCAGATTCATTTCAGCAATTGAAGCTGATTTCAGTTCAGAAAAGGGTTCATTGATGCAGGAGTTTTGAATAGAACAGAACGGAATGAGCTGGAAGGGTCCTTGGAGGTCTTCTAGTCCAGTCCAAGTGATTGTCCGGTCTCTTCTTAAAAACCTCCAGTGATGGATGTCCCAAAAGTGCTTTTTCAAGTGTCAGCTGGACTTTCTTGTTTTTCCTTGAAGACGTTTTGCTTCTCCATCCTTCATCCTTCATCAAGCTTCATGAATGAGAAGCGACACGTCTTCGAAGAAAAAACAGAAAGTCCAGTTGACACTTGAAAAACCACCTTTGGGATAACCATGACCTGGATGACTGAGAATCTCCATAGACAGATGTACCAAAATGACAAATTTGCTCCAGATACAGGATAGAATGGATTTGATTTAGTAATAGAGAACTAAGAATATCAGAATGATCTCTCGTTTTATCTCATCTGTTTTGGCTACATAGCTAACACTCTAAGTCATGGCTAACTGAACCATGGTGTACAGAATTAAGTCAGGAATCTAGGTTTAGAATAGAGGAGAGTAGGGTAGAGTAGAATAGAATAGAATACAACAGTAGAATAGAATAGAATATTGGAATGGAATGGAATGAAATAGAATGGAAAACAGAATAGAATGGAATAGAAAATAGAATAGAATAGAATAGAATAGAATAAATAGAATAGAATAGAATAGAATAGAATAGAATAGAATAGAATAGAATAGAAGAATTAGGAATAGAATAGAATATAGAATAGAATATAGACTATAGACTATAGAATATAGAATAGAATTAGGAATAGAATAGAATATAAAATAGAATGGAATAGAATATAAAATAAAATATAGAATAGACTAGGACATTACTTGCATAAACACAGAAAAACGGAGTAGTGATATTTACTATCAGTTTGCAAAACCGATTTAAAGGATTATGAAACAGACTACACCAGATTCTGTGAGGACACTGAGTTGTGAAAGAGATTAGAAAATGGGCAAAGTTCCGAGAGAATGATGTAAGGATGATGTTTGTTGGGTTAAAAAAAAGGTTTTTTGTTTTTTTTTAAAGAAAGGGCATATCCAACCCATAGGAAAGTCGGAGTGAGGGTTGGCATACGGACATGTTTGTAGACAGAAAATTAGAGTAAAAAACCACAGAGGGTGGCAAATGTTTTGCTAAGGGTTGCTCAGGACACATTGCCCCTTTAGCTTGCCAGTCCTCCGCTGTTGCAGAGGGTGTGCGCTTACATTCTAATTTCAGTACAGATAGTCCTCAACTTATGACCACAACTGAGCCTAACATTTATGCGGCTAAGTGAGAAATTTGTTAAGTGAGTTTTCGCCCCATTTTACGAATGTTCCTGCCACATTTGTAAAGTGAATCCCTGCAGTTGTTAAATGAGGAGCATGGTTGGTAAGTGAATCTTGGCTTCCCACATTGACTTGGTTTTGTCTGGTGGTCGCAAAAAGGTGACCATGTGACCCCGAGACACTGCCCCCGTCATAAATGTGAGTCAGTTGTCTTTCCCCCTTTCCTTTCCCCTTCCCTGTCCTCTTATTTGCTTCTGTATTTTGTATTTTGTATTTTATAATACTTTATATAACTATATATATAATTTACTAATTTACTAATTTACTAAGTTGGCAAGCATCCAAATGTACATCACATGACCCCTGGGGACGCTGCCATGGTCATAAGTGTCAAAAATGGTCATAAGTCACTTTTTTCGGCAGCGGCATAACTTCAAATGGTCCTCAAGCAAACTGTTGTTTTAAGTTGATGACTACCTGTAGGTCTTATGCTGTCTTGTTGGACAGGTGAACACTGGAGCAAAGATCCAGAATGTAGATTGGGCATTTTGCTCTGCTCAATGAAAGGCACCTTACCTGGTTAATCATGCAGGTCTCCAGCTCTTCTTTGGTAACGCTGTGGTCTCCCCTTTCTTTGCTCTGGAAAATAAGAGTTTCCCATCATCTTCCCAGTCAAGAGTTGCCCTCCAACCCAGGGGGGTCTTCAAACTGGACAGCTTTAACACTTGTGGACTTCAACTCCCAGAATTCCTCCTCCTCCAGTCATGTTAGCTCGGGAATTCTGGGAGTTGAAGTCCGCAAGTCTTAAACTTGCCAAGTTTGAAGACCCTTGGCATAGAACATAGACACATTGGGCTAGAAGGGACTTCAGAAGCTTCTAGTTCAACAGTGCAGGAGGCTTTATACCAGGGGGTCTTCAAACTTGACAGCTTTAAGACTTGTGGACTTCAACTCCCAGAATTCCTCCTCCCGCCATGTTAGCTCAGGAACTCTGAGAGTTGAAGTCCACAAGTCTTAAACTTGCCAAGTTGGAAGACCTTTGGCATAGAACATAGACACATTGGGCTAGAAGGGACTTCAGAAGCCTTCTAGTTCAACAGTGCAGGAGGCTTTATACCAGGGGGTCTTCAAACTTGACAGTTTTAAGACTTGTGGACTTCATCTCCCAGAATTCCTCCTCCCGTCATGTTAGCTCAGGAACTCTGGGAGTTGAAGTCCACAAGTCTTAAACTTGCCAAGTTTGAAGACCCTTGCTCCCCACCCATCTGCATGGATGTCAATGGCTGTGGCGTTCAAGACTTTCCCAATGGCAATGCTTTCAGGAGAACAGGAACTAGAGCAAGGAAGTCAAACACAAGGTGTGGTCAGATCCAGCCCCCGGGACCATCCTGGAAAATGTCAGGGGCTGGTTGGAAAATAAAGAAATAAGTTAAAACTGAGTAGATGAATATAGAGAGAAATAAGCTAAGATTGTCACAAAGGTAAAATAAGTAAGCGACAGTAGTTTACAAGAAAATGTGATTGATATTTTGTCAAGGAAAGTATGTTAATTATAACTGTTAGCACAAGATATATGTACCCAGTCGACACACTGTTTAAAATGAAAGAGGGAGTTGTAAATATAAAATAAAAACTTTATTAAAAGAAAAAAGAAAAGAAAGAAAATGTAAGCGTCTAAAGGCCTCTGCAGCTGGTAACAGAGCTCTGGATCTATCCGGAGCTCTGTTATTGACTATAGAGCCTTGCTGACTGCAGAAGAAATGGGCCGGCAAGGCAGGTGTTGGGGTGTGTGAGGCCTGGCTGCAACTGTAGTAGTAGGGTACCCCCATCCTCACCCTAGCTTAATTTTTGCCTGTCCACCCTGGGATAGGCGGGGGTCTTAATTAGGGCTTATTTTGTGGGCAGGGCTCATATTGGGTGCATGTATAAAAGTCATTCTTTTGAGGTAGGTTGTATTTTTGGGGAAACACGGTGGATAAGGGTCAAAGAAATTCTAGCGGGGGGAAGACTTGGATCATTTGTGGCAACTTAAGGACTCTAAGCTGATGACATATTTAACTCCACCCTCCATCTCTGCCCGTTCTTCTCCTACATTGATACAAAGATTTTGAAATTGAACTGAGGCCCCCTTACTCCCTATCCCGCTTTGAGCAAAGATACACCCCCCACCCCCTGGTCTGGAGATACAAGATACATCCACATCGCTTTTACTCACCCTGTACCACATAAATATGGTTTTAAAGGCATTTTCGTTGGAGCAAGATCCACAGGACATGGTTATGACTTGAGAGAGGCCTTTAGGAGCAACCTGGCAGTGGGAGAAGAGACACCAACCTTTCAGTCCAAAGTGCCTACAAGGAACACTTTCATCACTGAGCATCGCCACCAAATGATGCTTATTTTAAACCCCCCCCCCCATAAGTCTCTACTGCCTAAGGATAAAATAATGGAAATTTTAGGGTTCAAAGTGCCATTTAGTCCATGGGCTCCAACTTTCTACCCAAAGCAAGAATTCAAAATAAAGATTCTTCAATGGATGTTAATCCAACTTTTCTTTGATCCTGATGTTAATCCAACTTTTCTTTGAGTCCATCCTCTTAAGAGGTCATTGCTAAAATGTTTTCATTCTTAAGAAAGTTTTCTCAGGGTAACCTATCCTGAAATCTGAGATAGTAGAGAACCCACAATGGTCTTATTCCATCTGGTATCTTTTCAGGTTTTTGAAGGAGTGCTGTCATCCCCTTATCCCCGTTGCCCTTTTAAAATGCTAGACCTATCCAGTTTCCTCAGCCTTTCCTTGTATTTGCCAGAATTAATTCTTGGCAAGATGGAGACCTCGCCAATGCTGGGTGTCAGTTTCATTGCTCCTTCTGTGCTAGATAAAACTTACCGAAAGCAAAGATTCCTTTAGCTTTTCAGCAAAATTTTCTGGAGGCAAAATTCCTAGGGCAGGTCTGTTGACAAAAGTGCTCTGAAGTAAAGAAGAAGAAAAAAGAAGAGAAGAGAAGGAGAAAAGAGGAAAGAGAAAAATGAAAGAAAATAGAACAGAGAAAAGAAAAATGAGAGAAGAGAAGAAAAAGGAAAGGAGAAAAGAGAAAAGAAGAATGGAAGAAGAAAAGAGAAGAGAAGAGAAGAGAAGAGAAGAGAAGAGAAGAAAAGAGAAAAAGGGAAGGAGAAAAGAGAAGAGAAACAGGGAAGAAGAAAATAGAAAAGAAGAATTGAAGAAGAAAACAAAAGAGAAGAGAAAAATGGAAGAAAATAGAACAGAGAAAAAAAATGAGAGGAGTTTACCATGAATAGAATACAAACTTCTTATCTAAGGGTCAACCAAAAACAGTCCATGGGTTGACCTTAATTGCCTTAAACAAAGAACACCCCCAATTTTGATGCTTGCAACCACCCTTTCCCCGAACCTGTAAGCCAACCAAGCTGTTATTGGTATCAGAATTTAGCTGGAATGGAAACTGTTTGGGAGAATCTGCAGATGGGAAATGCTACTTGTTAGTGAGACGCTTTGGTGTCCTCTAGATTTTGAAAAAAATTTCTTTTCTTTGTGCCCTCTAGAGCAGTGTTCCTCGACCTTGGCAGCTTTGAGATGTATGGGCTTCAACTCCCAGAATTCCTCAGCCAGCCAAGGTTGAGATACATTGCTCTAAAACATTGCTTGGGTGTAACGTATGTCAAACAACTCTATGCAATAACCAGGTTTTGCTGGGCCTTCAGAACTATTCCTTTTCGTGATCCATCCTTGCCTCATCGAGAAAGATCCATCTTGCCACGGAACATCCAGAGAAAAAGCTTATAATCAGTCCAAAACCCTCTTCTGTACATGAATGAGGAATTCACACAACCTGCTGAAACCATTCGTGTTAATAACACATCGTTTTCGGTCTAGAGAACATGGGATTTGCTTCACATTTCATGCCAATCCAGCACTTGGGGTTTCCCCAAACACCGAATTAGAATAGAATACTTTTATTGGCCAAGTGTGATTGGACACACCAGGAATTTGTCTTTGGTGTAAATACTCTCAGTGTACATAAAAGAAAAGATACATTCATCAAGAGTCAAGAATCATCAGGTCCAACACTTAATGATAGTCATAGGGTACAATAAGCAATCAAATCATACTAGGAAACAGTCAAGTGGGAGAGGATGGGTGATAAGGAGTGGTGAGAAGATTAACAGTAATAGTAATGTACACTTTGTAAATAGTTGAACAGTGTTGAGGGAATTATTTGTTTAGCAGAGTGAGGGCTTTCGGGGAAAAACTGTTCTTGTATCTAGTTGTTCTGGTGTGCAGTGTTCTATAGTGTCGTTTTGAGGGAAGGAGTTGAAACAGTTTATGTCCGGGATGTGAGGGGGTCTGTAAATATTTTCACAGCCCTCTTTTTGACTCATGCAGTATACAGGTCCTCAATTATAAGCTACCAAACCCCATCTTAGCCTAGTCTAGCCTGCTCCAAGAATCCTCCTTCCATTTCTGATGCCTTGTGGGAGGCTTTGTCCTACATGCACATTAGCTTTGCGCTGAAGAGCAGCTGAGATTACACAGAGAATTTAAGCTATGATGGAGCTTGGCAGCAGGCGCAGGCTGCTAGGGGTTCATAGGGGTTCAGGAGAGCCGCTATGTCAGTCTCCGAGAATCCTTCTTCTGCTTGTCTTTGCGGCTGCCATAGGAACGGGAAGAGGGAAGAATAATTGGGCTTCGCGGGGAGGGGAAGGCTGCTGGAGGTTTAAGTTGGTGAAATGTTAAAGTTGGGATATTTTCTTGATTATGCTGACTTGTTTACTGCGCAGATGTAGCCCCTTATCTGTCTAAGCCAAGGCCAACCATCTTGGCATACCAGATGTCTGAAACACCACCTGAAGATGCCCCACGTGACATTATACACATCTCAGATGGGATGAACTATTGAGGGGTGGGAACATGGAGCAACTTTCTATATGCGATTTTCGCACCTATGGCCTCAAGATCTTGTATTTCTTCTGATGCTACCGCTTCAATTTTCAGTAAAAGTCCTTTTCTCTGTAACAATGGAGTCCAAAGTTTTCTTTCTTGGATTTTGAATGGAGTCTCATCCAGGGGTGGGATTCAAATTTTTAACAACCGGTTCTGTGGGCGTGGCTTAGGTGGTAGGCATGGCTTGGTGGTCATGTGACTGGGTGGACATGGCTTGGTGGTCATGTTATTGGCTGGGCGTGGCCAACTCAATATCACTCACATCGAGGCACGCATCTCCTCGCCTGGCCTCTCGTGATTGTGGGGATGCTGCAACAGTCGTAAGTGTGAAAAATGGTCATAAGTCACTCCACACAAGCAAAGTACCAGCAAAGGAGGGGAAGAAAACTCCAGAGATGTTCCTGAGACAGGAAGTCTAGTCCTGCCAAGAACATAATAAGTGTTAATGGAGAGGCAGTTTCTGTAAGCAACACCAGAATGTTTCCTTCCTGCCTTCCTTACAGGATTAGGCCAGTAATTTCTTCTAACAACCGGTTCTCCGAACTGCTGAGAATGTTCTAGTGAATAGGTGCGAACTGATAGAATCCCACCCCTGGTCTCATCTAACACGCTAGCTAAGATTCTGTGCAGTTCGGAGAACCCCCAAATCCCACTCCTGGCTGGCCCCACCCACCCCACCCTTCCCATCCCAGGAGCCCCCACGTGGCCCATTTTGGATGCAGGCTCAGAGAGGGTGAAAAATGGGCCTCCCGGAAGTTCAGGAAAGCCAGAAATGGGCCTGTTTCTGGCTTCCAGAGAGCCTCCGGAATCCAAGGAGGCCGTTTCCACCCTCCCAGAGGCTCGAGGAAAGCCTCTGGAGCCCGGGAAGAACAAAAACGCCCATCCCCACACCATGGTGCAGGAGGCCGACTAGGCCACGCCCACCATGGCCACGCCCACCCAGCAGCCGGCAGAGAAGCCGTTGCTGAAATTTTTGATGCCCACCCCTGATTAGCAGCCCCAGGGCAACACAACCCCGGCAAACCTTGGGGTAGCTTTTCAAACTTGCTTCTTCTTTCTCTCCCTTTGGCTGCCGACCAAAAAGATGGTTGATATACGAGAACCAGCCCAGAACTAATCAGGAAATGAGCTCCTATGGGTTTCTCCTTGCTCAAGAGCTGGACAAAACCGTGCCTGCCAACTCTGGCAATTCTCAGCCGTTCCCTTGGAAAGGGCTTATTTTGGAGACTCACCCCCCAGAAGGTGGGGAGGCTCCCGGTTCCAGCCTCAGAGACCCTGAGCAGTGGGTGAACAGCCCTGGGGGAGGACAGGTAGGCACTCTGGGATCTTGGGGAGAAGAAGGGAAGCTTCACAAACAGGCAATTGACGCACCGTTTTGGCAATCTGGTACCTTCTGCAAAAGGTCACTTACCAGATTCTGGGGCTGTTGCAAAAGTTTGATCAGAGATGGGTGGCTGTAACCTAGAAGGAAACACAGAGGACTTCTGTCATCTGATTTCAAGAAATTTCAGCAACTTTCACATTAAGGTAAAGGTTCCCCTCGCACATACGTACTAGTCGTTTCTGGCTCTAGGAGGTGGTGCTGATCTCTGTTACAAAGCCGAAGAGCCAGCATTGTCCGAAGACGTTTCCGTGGTCATGTGGCTGGCATGACTAAATGCCGAAGGTGCACAAAACGCTGTTACCTTCCCACCAAAAGGGTCCCTGTTGTTCTACTTGCATTTTTACATGCCTTCGAACGGCTAAGTTACAAAAGCCGGGACAAGTAATGGGAGCTAAGGATTCAACCCGTCAAACTGCTGGCCTTTCTGATCGTCAAGCTCAGAGCATTAGCGCCTGAGCTAAAAAAACAGTTCACCTTGTTAGGGATAACATTGTTTTACCCTAACTGTTTTGGGTAAAGATAATAAAATGATGAATCATGGTTTGTCAGATAAAGTGTATGTGACTTTAAGCTAAAGGAATGTAATTATGGGTGCAGCTGTAAAAGTACTATATAAGCAGCAAGGCACTCTCTGGCTCTTACTGGCTGGCTTATTGCAGACTGCATTCTTGCTGGATCGGGGAGGAGAAGAAGTGTTGGATTACTTTGAAGATATTTCTCAACGGAGAGAAGATAAGTTTTGGACAGATTTATTATGTGTACTGACACTGGCTATTCGACACGGACTTTGCAATTAGAGTATCCTCGACAAGACTTGACTGAATTTGGTATATGACTAATGGACTGTTTATTTGACTATGCTATAATTCTTAAATGGAATAAACAATATTTTTGATAGCACAAGCGTATCTGTATTTTTACTGCGTGTTAACTAGAAAACTTATCTCACACATTTACCTGTCTTCCTATCTGACTTCGCTGTACATTCTGTTTAGTTTGTTTTCCTTAACACCCGTTGGGGAATCCAGGCTTAACACACCTCACTAGTGCTGACACAGAGGGAGGTTTTCCAGTGCTGTGCGCACAAGAACCGGTGGGGGAAAAAATGTGGAATCCCACCACTGGAAACCCTGCAAGGACTCCCAAAAATTCTTACCAATCGGGATGGATGAAATCTGAGAGTAGAGATCCAACATCCGGTTCCCATCAACATCCACAAGGTAATTCCCTCGGCTTTCCTCGTAGTTGCAGAAAAAGTGGACGGCCTCTGCGTTCTGAGAGAAACGGATGGAACAAGTTGAGATTTCCTGGCGCGTCGCCGAAGTTGAGAATCAAGCAAAATGAGCCACGATTTAGGCTGGTCAGGAAGGAAAAATAGGAAACTCTGGATGGTTTCCCATGTCTGCAAATCGTTTTTCATATCCCTACAGATAGGCTTGTTTCGGAAAGACAAGGGCCTTCTGATTGGTTTTGGGATTTGGGGATTAAAAAGGCAGAAAATAATCTTGGAAAAACTTTAAGGTAACAGCTACTTAACAGAAAGAAGACGGAAGAATAGTTGTATGTTTCTGCTTTTCGTTTTCTTTTCTTTTTTTGAGTTCTCCTTTCCTATCGCTTAGTTTCTATCTTTGTTTTTGTTTGTTTTGTACATTTTATTATAGTGAAGAATTATACAGTAAAGGTAAGGGGATCCCAGGACTGTCTTATTGTTATTTGAGCCCCATTTACAGGATTTTTAAAGAGGTTTGAACAACCTCCCCCCTCCCTGCATTGCCCAGCATTATATCCCAATATCCAGATTATTTTTCTGCCACCACCAAATATGCTCCCATTCTGTTCAGTTTCGGGAGGGTGGCCTTGCTGACACAAAACAGGCACACATAGGTTGCTTAGCGGCGACAATTTTGTGACTCGGCGGCCAATATCTGAAGGGATGTTTTTCAAGTGGAATCTGGAGGAAATTACCTGAATTCCATTCAACTGTTTCATTAGTTCCTAAAAGAAGAAGAAAGAATATTATTATACAGATTGACTAACCAAAAAATCAGGAGATGAAATGTTCCTGTACAACCTATTCAGCTTTTTTGGTTTCTCTCTCTCTTTTTATTTTACTTTATTCAACCCTGGGAAGTGCTAAGGGCATTTCAATGTCATGATTTAACCAGGGAGACAGTTTGGCCCAGTGGTTAAGGCACCAGGCTAGAAAGCAGGAGATGGTGAGTTCAAGGTCTGCCTTTAGCCATCCTGGTTGTTTCCTCAAGTCCTTCAGTTTTGCAAACCCCCAAATATAACGATCCTATAATTTGTTTAAAAGCAAACCTAACTTATTTTATTTCTGCTTTATTTTGGGCCAGTCAACTCTCTTTCTCTCAGCCCAACCCACCTCACAGGGTTGCTGTGGGGAGAATAGGAGGAGGAAGTGGGGTTGGATATGATCGCTGCCCTGAGTTATTGTTAAAAATAATAAAAGAAGGATACAAGATAAATAATAAATAAATCTAAAGTATAACAAAAAAGAGATCTTGGAGGTCTTCTAGTCCAGCCTCCTGCTCAAGCAGGAAACTCTAATCTGTATCATTTCAGACACATGGCAGTCCAATCTCTTCATGAAAGCCTCCAGTGATGGAGCACCCACAACTTCTGAAGGCAAAATCCATTTTATCCCAAATCCATAAGCACTAGAAGTATTTTTATTTTAAATAGGGAGATGTATTAGTGTCAGATCCCTAACAGGGATACTGCCATTCAATTGGGAGAAGTGGGGTGGAGGGGTGGGGGGGCTTGAATTCGATTCATTATTATTGCCTATGACAAGTGTTATTTTATAATTTGTATCCTGGTGCAGAAGCACCCTGAGATTTTCTCACCTCTTGGGGAATGTATTAAGGGGGAGGGCCATGTGGGTTGTTTCACTTTGAAAGCCAGCGAAAGATGGCCATGGGAATGTATGCTTCTCTGTTTCTCAGAGCTGCCGGTACAATAACATCTTCACACCTGTGGATTGGCTGAATCCGCATCTGGATAAAGGGAGGGGTCTCTACTGCCTTAATTCTACTTGTCTTGCCTCAGGGTATTCAGACTCTGCTTTGAATGTATTGCTATCACTTCTGCTTAATAAAAGGTTCCTTCATTTTAAAGAGTCTTCACTTTCTTAAGTTAGAAGGAGAGGCAATCCTTACAATGAGGTATCTTCGCCACCTTGAGTTATTTATAAAATACTAAAGGCAGGATATAAATAAAATCATAAAATAATAAACTAAAGTAAATTAAACTACCCTACACCACCACTACACTAATTAAATAAAATAAAATAATAAGGGTTATACTGATAAAACAGTCTTCCATAGTTTGCTTTTATCTCCATGCCATGGGAATTAAAGTCCAAGTAGACCGATTGGAAAATTGGACATTTTTGTTAAACAGAAAAAAAAAATGAAATTATGACTGTCGGGTTTGATGATTAGGAAAAAATTGTAGAGAACAGAAAAGAAGGAAAGTTATGATATAAATTTAACATAAGAGTTTCATGTAAATTTATATTTGTATCTGCTGTAAACGAAAGTAGGAAATTGTTTATATTTCTTTTTCTTTTGTTTTCTTTCTGTACTTCTGGCTTTGCTTTGCTTCTCTCTTTCTTTTACTTTAATTATTAGTTTGTCTTTGTTTTAACTCTCTAGTTGAAAAATCTAATAAAGTTATTTAAAATCCAACACAAAGTCAAGGAAGGACTTTTAAGGAGTGTTTGATCTCTTGTGCTATTTTTCCAAAAAAATATTTGGAGATAATGGTAGTGAAGTGGAAGAATTAAATTTAGGATGGATGTTCTCATCTTAACTTACCCTGGATCTCGGACCAGGGACTTCGGTCTTCATCAGTGGCCCATCATAGTCAAATTCCATATCAATTTTAGCTGCCACTTGGCTGATTCCTCGGAGTCCTGCAAACAAACAAACAAAAAATGAATTTAAAAAGTGACTCTTAAGAAGTACATTCAAGAAGGGACTTCTGTATGTACACAGAGAGTATAACATTGCAAGGTATATACTTGTAATTTGGGGTATTAACACCCCCCCTCAAACTAGCTGTTCTTAAATGCTGTTATAGTTCGCCGGCAGCCTGTGCAGACGGCAGCAGAATCGGACAGTGGGGAACACCGGGGACCAGTCCGGGAGTCTGGGGAAGACTCAGATGAGGGTCCTGCATTCGATGCAGAAATGGGGCCAGGACCATCTGGGAGTTGTGTGCTGACTCCTGAGCCTCCTGAGTCTGGCAGCAGCGAGGCAGAAGAACAAGGGGAGCCTGTTCCCAGTGTGCATGTGTGCAGAGCTGCTAGAAGGCGAGAGCAGCTGAGACAAAAGGGGTGACTCAGGAGTAAGGCTTGGAGGTGATTGTCCCTCCCATAAGGTATAAAGGACAGGCAAAGGTAGAGAAACCTTTGCAGGAAGGAAAGTCGTTCGCTCTGTTTGGATTAAACCTTGAAGCTTTGTGTGGACTTTGTACTTCGTTTGGCTTTTTACAGTTAATTTGGCACTCTAGTTGTTGGCAGCAATTCAAAGGAGAGAAAGGTGAGTGCTTATCTCGGGGGACTGTTTGAGACTCATTACCAGCTGGGAATGAACATAATTCCCAGCGTTGAAATAAAACAAGATTTGTTTTAACTAAGCGTGTGCTTAATTACGGTCTCGGGAAGCCTTGGTCAGAAGAAATGCTTCTGATCTTTAAGGCATGATTACAAATTGAAACCCAATTTGTTCCCTTTTATCCAAATAATTGTATTAAGAATTATACATGAAAATAAAAGCTAATACAGTCTACAAAAATATAAACAGAAAAATACAAAAGAAAACAAAAAAGTGAGAAAAATAAAAAAGAAGTAATTTATCCCTTCATCTCAGGAAGTATAAACCATTTTAATATTTTATTACCATTTCTAAATACAACATAGACTCTTCTCCCATCTCTTGACTAAAAAAAACCCCATCCAAATGTTTTATCAATCATTTTTGTTAACAAAAGTCTGGTAAGGGCAACCAGGGATAACTATTTTCTTTGATTAGTCCTAATCAAATAAGCCAAACTTGTATTCCTTCCCTGAGTTTTCAAACATATTCTTTAATCCTCCCAAATAGAATTCCAGAGCTAATTTTCTGTTCATCTGTTTCAAGGTAAAGATCTTTCAAAGCTTTTAAGAGATTTTTTAAATCTAGTAAGTTTGTGACTTCTGACTTCTAATAAAGTCCTTTAAAACCTTCAAAAGACAAATAGGTTTCTTGGTTCAGTATCTGTACAACTTCTCAAATCATCTATCAGTTCCATTTGTGGTATATTTCAGAGTGATTTTGTAAACATGCATTGCCCCTTGTTCTTGCTTTATAACTTCATTGCTACCTGTTCTGTCCATTTTGTCAAGAGGTTTATTCATCCTACTAAGAAGCTTGGTTAAAAAGAAATACTCAGTAACTTGTATTATAAATTTCTGCTCCACTTACTTTATCCTCTAACTCATTCTTCTTCATTCAAGGTTTCCTTATCGTAAAAGTATGAAAACAATTGCCATTTTCCCATGAGAAAATTTCTTCTAATTAAGTCAAAGCTGTAATTTTAAATCCTGCTGGTGCCTTAATCCATTAACTTTCCAAAGTCAATATATACTCAGCATCTTTTTGTTGCAGTTCAAAAAAAAAATCACACATTTCCAAAACTTGTAAGGTCAAATTTATACCATCATCCTCTAAGGAGATTCACCTGATTAATAAAAAATTTCCCAAAAAGTGTTTATGAAATGAGCCGTGGTTGAGCTTAATGTCCATAAAAGGCTGTTTTGGGAGTGCGAACTTGATGAAATCCCAATTCCCAGCTTTTCCACTCCTAAGCTCTGTCAAATGACAGTTTCTGTGGTCTACTCGTGAGGAATAGGTGTCCAGAATCACATGGACAATCACAATAAACTCTCCAGATCCAGTATCCAATTACAAACTGTTAGAAATTCTGTTTATATATAGCACCATAGAGCAAACGAAAAGTACAGTCACCATGTGTTTTACTGCTCAACTATTTAAAACTATAGCAGGAAATTCTACTTAGAACAAAAGAGCATAGAGCCATACAGCCAAACTTGTAAACACTGCCATCTACTGGCTGAATACCACTGTAGTTGTTGCATAGAAATACATTCCAACCGTGAATTCCAGTACAAACTCCTCGCAAACACTGTCCTGCTAGCTGGCAGGATGTCAGGTCACCATGGTGCTCATAGGAAGTCCCCAAATCTGTTTTGTTTCCCAAGCAAAATAGTGAACAAGAGTGGCACCGCAACAAAATTTTCCCCTTTGATCACTTCATCAATTCATCTTGGATTAAAGCCTGTAAGCACTAACTTGTTTCTCTGTTGGCATTGAACACCGTAAGTTGGTATGGGATATTTGCAAACACTGCAACTATTTGGGGAACAAGGAGTGGTCACAACTCAATTTATAACCTATTCAACCCCAAAATGAAAACTCCAAACCAATAAACTCTGAGACCAGCATTTCCTCAAAGTTCCATTTTATTAGAGTTGTCATATTGGCACACCTGGGAAAACCCGAATCTGAGAGTTCCGGGTTTTCTCTTCCCAAAAGAGAAATTCAAGGTCCATCCCCCTGCACCCATCAGTCCATCACATGTTCCGGGTTTTCTCTTCCCAAAAGAGAAATTCAAGGTCCATCCCCTGCACCCATCAGTCCATCACATGTCCCAATCAAACCTTTGTCCCAATTGGAAACATCCCTCCAGTCACTCCCCTCCAGGTGCAGGGCAACATGACCTTGACTCTCTGAGAAAGGATGTTGTTGTGTTTAATCTTCCATCTCTCTATGAAATCCCCCCTTCCAAATTCCCAGGCACTGAATGTGGCAGCCTTGAAGCTTCCAAGTGAAAAATATGGCTTCCAAGGCTGACAGGAGAACATTTCTGGACTTTTCCAGGAAATTGCATCATCAGCCAAATGTGCTCAGTCATTTGAACAGCTAGAAGAGCAGCCAACGGTCAGAAACCTTCCCAGCAACTAAACAGCTCTTAACACGCAGTCTGGGAATGTGAGTTTTTTTTTTTTATAAAATGCTTCCAGGATAATGTCAGATGTGATTGAGGGCAAACAAGATGCAGGAGGCTCATGCCCACTCAGAGTTATGCTTTCCCTAGCATGGGGATACTAGTACCAAAATAATAATAATGATTATCTAAACTGTGCAACGAACCATAATCATGCCATGGGAACCAAACCAGGGCTGCTTACACAATGCTGCACACATTCCTTAGGCTCAAGGCAGAACAGCTACTGGAGCAGAAGAAAGATCTGGCACCCCAGAGAGAAGCCACCAAACCATTCAGATGTGCAATGAAGGTTAGCTGCCAAGGAGAAGAGTAAACTAGGGTTGGGTGTCCTTGAAGGATTTCCAAATGCAAAGGATCTGGGGTTAGGCAAGGTCATGCTTCGAGATGACAGATTTGGGAAGTCACCTAAAAGTGTTGGAAATATAATGCAATGATTGTTATGTCTCCTCCAGCTTCTATTAAAATGATCAGAACAGGGCTCAGAAAGTTTGTCTGAAGGCCCCTAAAAGCAGGTAGACAGAGGACGTGCAGAAGGCGTATTTCATATACTCTATATATTTTTTTTAATTTTAAGCAGCCCAGAGTCATTGATTGGGCAGCTATAGAAACTGAAGATAGATAGATAGATGATAGATTAGACAGACAGACAGATGATAGATAGATGATAGATAGGTGACAGACAGACAGACAGACAGACAGACAGACAGACAGACAGACAGACAATCTTCCCAATGAACCACAAGGCAAAACAAGAAGCAATATATGGAAACGAATCAGAGGGAGAAGCAACCTAGAACTAAGGAGAAATTTCCTCACAGTGAGAACAGTTAACCAGTGGAATGGCTTGCCTTCAGACGTTGTGGGTACTCCATCACTGGAAGTTTTTAAAAAGAGACTGAACAGCCACTTTTCTGAAGTAGTATAGGATCTCCTGCTTGAGCAGAGGGCTGGACTAGAAGACCTCCAAGGTCCCACCCAAGTCTGTTATTCTGGTTTTTTTTTATAGTTTATCTTACCTGGAATCTCCAAAAATGTTATTGGTGCATATACTTTATTTTATTCCTGTATTTGAATCATGTTGATGCCCGATTGTATTATTGCTGATTGTGTCAGCTAATTGTTCTTATGGAAAATTTTGACCAGGGATCCTTTGAGCGGTACAAAAATAAATGAAGCTGATTTATTTTCATTTCGTTCTGGGGATCTGAAGGCACTGGAGGTGTTCCATGGACTCCCGTATTTATAGCTACTGCTATATGCTTTTTAGGACCACATGTGATATTTTCTCTTGATGGCCCATGAATTGCAACACCAAAAGGTTTTTATTTCATGTTGACCTCAACACTCTGCCAAAATATTCGTCAATATATTCAGAGAACAGAAGTCTGGCTAATGGACCAGGTGTCCCACAGTGATTTAGAGTCTAAGGCCGTGTTTCTCAAGCTTTCAGATGTGTGAACTTCAACTCCTAGAATTCCCAAACCAGCATTTGTTGAAGTTCACACATTTGAAAGTTGCTACGGTAGAGAAACACTAGTCTGTAATAATGGAGTAAACAATTACAAAAGCTAACCTCTTTCATTTATGCAAGGTTTCTTCTAATAGCTTTTTTCTTAAGGAACCCTATGGTTTTTCCCACAGTACAGTTTAGAAAATACAGTGTGCTAGGCTATGAAAACATTATGTATATATTATGATACACACACACATATATACAAATTAAGAAACAATGGATGGAAAGCAGTGGTGGGATTTAATTATTTTTACTACCGGTTCTGTAGGCATGGCTTGGTTGGGTGTGGCAGGGAAAGGATACTGTAAAATCCCCAGTCAGAGGTGGGATTGGCTGGTTCTCTCAACTATTCAAAATTTCTCCTACCGGTTCTCCAGAACTGGTCAGAACCAGCTTAAATCACCTCTGATGGAAACTAATCAAAGAGAATTCAGGAGAAACTTCCCAACAGGGAAAACAATCGGCCAATCGAATGGCTTGTCTTCAGAAGTTGTGGGTGCTCCATCACTGGAGGTTTTTTTAAGAAGAGGCTGGACAGTCACTTGTCTGAAATGGTCTAGCACAGAGGCCTCCAACCTTGGCAACTTTAAGACTTGTGGACTTCAGCTCCCAGAATTCTGGCTGCATAGCTGGCTGGAGAATTCTGGGAGTTGAAGTCCACAAGTCTTAAAGTTGCCAAGGTTGGAGACCTCTGGTCTAGGATGTCCTGCTTGACCATCTCCCCTCCATGTCCCTTCTAGCTCTATTCTGACTGAATATATGTTTCTGTGTTCTTTTTTTAATGCACCTTTTTAAAATATCTTGCTTGGATTTTATTTTACTTCTGTAAAAACATTTTGTTCTGTGAGTTTTATATTTTAACTTTTTTTGAATAAAAATAAACATACATACATCCACCTATCTATCATCTATCCATCAAGTTAGATAGATGGATAGATGATAGATATACAGATAGAAATAGGAATAAATATATGGATATACAGGTAATTCTTGACTTAAAAGTTCATTTAGTGACTGCTCAAAGTTACAATGGCACGGATAAAGTGACTTATGATCGTTTTTCACACTTATGACCATTGTAGTATCCCCACCATCACGTCATCAAAATTCAGACCTTGGCCACTGACTCGTATTTATGACCACTGTAATGTTCTGGGGTCACGTCATCCCCTTTTGTGACCTTTGGATGAGCAAAGTCAATAGGGAAGCTGGATTCACTTAACAACCGTGTTACTCACTTAAGAACTGCAGTGATTCACTTAACAACTGTGGCCAGTAAGGTCGTAAAATAGGGCAAAACTCACTCAATAACCGTCTCACTTAACAGCAGAAATGTTGGGCTTGTAACCTGCATCGATACTGTATATAGATATATAAACTGGTTTTCCGTCCCACTCACCTCCTGCAAATATCCTGGAGCTCTGTTGCAGTGCCCATGTTGCGTGTTGATGGAGCAACATCAGGGCCATTGTATTCAATACGATTTTTCTTCAGTCACAAAATGAATTTCCCTTCTCGCCTCTGGCTAATGACCTGGAAAGAGAAATAGACAAAATTATCCCTCAGGAAAACCTCCTCAATAATTTTACCATGGAAGACCAGCAAACGGGATGATTCTCTTTAAAAAAAAAAAAAAAAAACCCATTAGGAAGCCTCTAGATCTCAAGAGTCTGGTTTGCAATTTGTGCAAATATCATTTATGGCTGAATATCTCTCAGGTTGCATTCCTAACTTTCAGCTGGTTATTGGAAATGATTCTGGCTTTGGCCAAAGCTTGAACTACAAATTAACCAAACCAGAAGATTAATTTATAATAACCTAATGTATAAAGCATTAGTAAGACCACACCTAACACGTTGCATCCAGTTTTGGTCACCAAACAATAAAAAAGATGTTGAGTCTCTAGAAAGAGTACAGAGAAGAGCAACCAGGATGATGAGGGGACTGGAGGCTAAAACATACGATGAAAGGTTGCAGGAACTGGGCCTGGCTAGTCTAGGGAAGAGAAGGACCAGGGGAGACAGGAGAACAGTCTTCCAATACTTGAGGGGCTGCCACAGAGAGGAGGAGGAGGTTAGGCTATTTTCCAAAGCACTTGAAGGCCAGACAAGGAATAATGGATGGAAGCTGATCAAGGAGAGATTCAACCTGGAAATAAGGAGAAATTTTCTGACAGGGAGAACAATCAACCCGTGGAACAGAAGTTGCCTTCAAAAGTTGTGGGAGCTTCATCCCTGGAAGCTTTCAAAAGAGACTGGACTGCCCTCTGTCGGAAATGGTGTAAGGTTTCTGCTTGGGCGGGGGTGGGTGGGGTTGGACTAGATGACCTACAAGATCCCTTCCAACTCTGTTAATCTATCTATCTAATGTTGTTTTCATGACTCTACGTTGCCAGAGTTTCATGCAGAGTTTGGATGGCAGGCAGTTCCAACTTTGAGGCTGCAACATTATCTCGTGTTCTCAAAGAGCCTGAATTTAAATCCGTTGCTCAGCTACAGGCAAATTTTCATCATTTGTAAATCCTTTGGCTGCCGCTGTTTAAAACCGCTCAGCCTTGGATTAACATCAATACAAGGCAGTGAATTTCAAACACTTAATTAAAATGCTAGAAACATTCCCCCCCCACCCCCACTTCCCCGGCGCTCCTCTCTACCCATTTCCTTTTTAAAAAAGCGACCGCAAGCAAAATGCAGTCATCAACAAGTTCAAATTCAAAACGCTCCCATGAACTCCGTTGACAGATAAGCAAGTTCAAAACTTCCTCCTTAAATAAAAACTAAATTATTATTACTATTATTATTTTGCAAGCTGGTCAGGCTAATTTTACAAGCGAGCACGCACATTTAAGGGCTAGTTTGGGTTGTTTCTTGGCTTTTTATCATCTAAGAAAACGTAGCTTGCTTCAGACTGTTAGAGCAATACTGAAAACCCAATACTGTACTTGTCAAAGCACATTTTCTGGTTAAAGAACTGCAGCAGCAGCATCATAAACCACACTATGCCAAAACCACAGTTCTGTGCAGAAGGCATTCCAGCCTGCTCGAACAAATCTTGAAAAAGCTTCTTCTCCAGTAACATTGAACTGCAAACCAGGGCATACAAAACCTTCGCCAGACCAATTCTCGAATACAGCTCATCTGTCTGGAATCCAAACTGTATAATGGACATTAATACAACGGAGTGAGTCCAGAGGTATTTCACGAGAAGAAGAGCCCTCCGCTCCTCCTCTTGCAATAGAATACCTTAAGCCACCAGGCTTGAAATTTTGGACCTGGACAACCTAGGACTACGCCGCCGACAATCCGACCTAAGCTTACTACACAAAATTGTCTGCTACAATGTCCTACCTGTCAATGACTACTTCAGTTTCAACCGCAATAATACATGGGCAAACAATAGGTACAGATGCAAAGTAAACTGCTTCAAACTCGATTGCAGGAAATATGACTTCAGAAACAGAGGGGTCAACGCCTGGAACTCACTCTCTGACTCTGTTGTTACATCCTCAAACCCCCAAAGCTTTAAACCTTCAACTGTCTACCGTGGACCTCACTCCATTCCTAAGAGGTTTGTAAGGGGGCATGCATAAGCGCACCAGAGTGCCTACTATCCCTGTCCTACTGTCCCCACTTATTCGTACTCATTTATTATGTATATCAGTGGTGGGATTCAAATATTTTTACTACTGGTTCTGTGGGCGTGGCTTGGTGGGCATGGCAGGGGAAGGTTACTGCAAAATCCCCATTCCCTCCCCACCCCACTAACCTGCTTTCCAGCTCCGTTCTCCTGGGCAGGGCAACCAAAGAAGACCCAGCCGATCAGCTGGGACTCAATGGGAGGCAGAGAACAGATGGGGTTGGTGGGGACAGTCAGAGGTGGTATTGGCTGGTTCTCCAAACTACTCAAAATTTCTGCTACCGGTTCTCCAGAACTGGTCAGAACTGGCTGAATATCACCTCTGGTATAGGGTCTCCTGCTTGGGTGAGGGGTTGGACTAGATGACCTACAAGGTCCCTTCCGACTCTGTTAATCTGTTAAAGCATCTAGTCCTTCTCTTATCCACTGTTTCTCCAGTTTCCTTCTGAGATTTGTCTTTCAAAATTTCTAAATGAACTGACAGGAAAGAGGTCAAGCCACGGATGTCCTGTCACATCTGTTTTGACTCTCTGCAGAAATCTGGGTTTGCACACAGCTGGATCCTGATTTAACCCCAAATCTCAGCCATTCTGAGATGAAGCTAGCCACTGAAGAGATCGCCCTTTATTTGTACTGCAGCTGGAGGGTGAGAGCAGCCTTTTCCAACCAGATGCCCTCCAAGTGAATTGAACCACAACTCCCATCACTCCTTGTTTACTAAACAGACTGCTTCAACAGAGCAAGGTGGGTTGGTCTTTGTATGCTGCATTTTGGAAAAGAGGTGAATTTTTCCCCAGATTGAATGAGTGCAGCCCTATGGGAAGCCACCCCTCCTCCCTCCAGAAGAATGAAATGTTTTGGGGAATAATAAAAAGGCAGGATATTATATTTCCCTAAAGCAGAAATGGAGAAACATGTTTTTAAAGGCAGGAAGCAGCCCTCAGTCTTTCTTAATAGCCCACAGCAGATGCCAGCACTTAAAGAGATTAAAGAGCTTATTGAAAGAGGAAGACAAGTATCTAGGTGGCTCTATTCATAAGCAAAGCAAATACTGCAGGCTGAAATCCATTCAAGAAAAGGATACTCCTTGCAGCACAGTGAACAAAGGCAGAAGGGTAGGATTAGAAAGCAGCCCCTCAGCCAAGATCCAATACAGGACGAAAGCCGTTAAACCAGAGGTGGGATTCAGCAGGTTCTGACCAGTTCTGGAGAACCGGTAGTGGAAATTTTGAGCAGCTCGGAGAACCGGCCAATCCCACCTCTGACTGGCCCCGCCAACCCCATCTCTTCTCTGCCTCCCTTTGAGTCCCAGCTGATCAGCTGGGTCTTCTTTGGTTGCCCTGCACTGGAGAACGGAGCTGGAAAGCAGGTTAGTGGGGTGGGGAGGGAATGGGGGTTTTGCAGTAAACTTCCCCTGCCACGCCCACCAAGCCCTGTCCACAGAACCGGTAGTAAAATGCTTTGAATCCCACCACTGCATTAAGCCACAATAGGAATTACCCGACCCCCTTTCAGAACCACAAGACCCTTCACTGCAGCAGCCCCAGAACAGTCCCGATTTCAAAGTCACAGAAACCTATAAAGATCCATCCACTCATTCAACCTTTTGTTCAGCTGATCCAGTAACTGTCTTTGTGGTTCTGTTCAATAAACCATCTTTCCAATCAGTCCCTAAGTGCCTTCCTCCTGGCTTGGATTTGGACCTGGATATTTCTTCCAGCAGCCCTTTGAAAAAATTCCATTGAATAGCGTAAGAATTGGTTGGAATTTAATGAGAGATTAAAATAATGAAGCATTGTTCCACTTCTGAGTTGGGGGAGGGACCATTCGGCAGGTGCTAAGCCATTATATTTGAATATACCCCTTTAAAATATCCATTACAGGAAAAAGCACATTTTTTTAAATAAAGATTTCTTAGTTGGCTGTAGTTTTCCTCTACCCTATACATTTTTTTTTCCTCCATCCTTTTAAGTATCTCTCCAATGTCAGGATTCCAGCAGTTACCCCCATTTAAATCATGAGTCTCGAGACAAACTTACAAAAAGGATTTATTGAGAGTTAATATGCTGGCACTGCCTGGGTGTAGCCGACTCTGAGACACATCATTCATTGTCACCCTTGAACCTGGTTTTCCCCACCACCCCCTGGGTGTATCCTAATTCATATTCTCCAATGGGACACATCCATAGCCCAGAGTCATCAATCATGCTCTCCAGTTAGAATTTTGTGCGGCAGAAACTTCGGTCACCTAGTTACCATCTTTGAAAACATTTATGGAATGCAGTTTCGGTTTGCAAGCTGCCGCACTGCTCTTTCAAACCCCTTTCTCCCCTCCCTTTCTGTTGGCAACTCTAAAAAGGCCATAGAAATATTTTATGAGTTGACATCCAATACACAATTATAGTCTCCATCACAGACCATTGAGGGGTCCTTTCTAAACAATTATTGCTGGACTGAATCAATGCACAGCCTCACAGCCAACTCTCTGGATGCCTCAACGCTCACAAAAATTGGGGGGGAAAAAATAACAATAACCCCAATCATTTGTGGAAAACTGCCCGTAGATGACAGCAAACCAGAAGGATAAATGCACTTTAAATGTTGCCTTGTGCTTTGTGTGTGAGTGTGTGTGTTGCTATTGCAGGTGGGTTCTGCATTGTGCAAACACACTCAACGCAGCAAAATATAGCCGAGCAAACCCGCAGACAACGTCGGAGCTGTGCCCGACCATGAAAGCTACCTTCCTTGAACATTTTCCCTCCCCCCAAACAAGAGAAATGACTCTGAGCTCGTTGCTGTGCTCTGGTGCTATTCAATGTGCCAACGGGGATGTGACATGCCAGCCCCATGTGGTCAATTCGGGGTGGGGTGGGGTGGGGGGGAGCAGCATGA